CTGCACAGAGTGGAGCAAGCGGAAAAACAAGGAGCCTGACACAGGATGGAAGGTCTGCTGCTGGGAGTGAGCGGTGCAGGATGCCGGCCCAGCGCTCCGGGTCCTAATGCTGCAGTCTGGGGTCCAGGCAGCAGGGGGGTCTGGCCTACCTCTGCTCCCAGCCCTCACCTCGGGAGTGCGGGCAGCTCTTTGAGCACACTTCCGGCCCTGTTCTAACCTCTTACTTAGAGACAGACTCTCACTCTAGCCTTGAACTTGAGAAGCTGTGGTGACAGGCCAGGCTGCCAGCACGCTTACCCCGCCCTGTCCTTTCTCCTCAGCTCCAGCCGCCCCCGCCCCCACCCCCACCCCCCACCCTGTCCTGGCCCCAATCGTGAAGGAAATCACTCAGCAAGCATAAGAGAAACTCAATCAGCTTGCTCTTTTTCTATCTCTCTTTTTGTCTCTGGCAGTTTTTTGTTAGTCTTGCAAGGGAAGAGATGTTTGGGAGAAGGCATTGATGGGACCTCTGGAGTTCTGTCAGGACTATAATATGCCCGGAAGAAAGAGAAGCTGCCGCTGGTGTGGAAGGCACAGGCAACCTCGAAACAGGGCGGGGGGGGGAGGGGATGGCAAAGCCTAGAGGCTCAGAATGGAGCTAAGACACCCACAGCTCAGGGAAAGCATCTATGTGGAGCCTAAATTCACCAGGGGACTCGCTGCCAGGGCCAGAGTTCTGCCTTCCTGTCCCTGTCCCTAACCCGGTCTCCTTATCTATGTCTCTATTTCTCGCTGTGTCCGTCTGTCCTTGCCTGTCTCTGTGTCTCGCTTCTGTCTCTCTTCGTGTCTGCCTGTCCCCCCTCTCACACTCAACAGCCCCACCTGGCCTCAGGATCACCAGAGGGGAGCCCAGAGTCCTGCTCTGGCTCCTGAGAGCGGCAGATGGGACAGGCATGGTTGGAATCTGGCCACCCTGCACCCTCCCTGGCCAGCGCCAAGCTTCCCACACTGTGGCTGGAGACACAAGAGCATCCTCCGCATGTCGCCACACTGTGTCCTGGGCTCGGCTCAGTGGGGACACTATGGGAGACCAGGATGAGGCAAATCTGAATACACTGCCTCTCGTCAGCCTCGGAGGCGCACATCACCAACGGTGCCGTGACACACAGCTACCAAAACTCCACACGGCTGTACCCAGCTGTCCATGGCCACAGATGCAGTCCCTGAGGACACAGGAGAAACACTCCACACAGCCACACGCCAGCACAACTGCCCAGCCCTCTCGTGGCCACGGGTGCAGCCACACAGGAACACACAGAGCCACCTCTATCCTTGAGCGTACTCACAGCCAGCCTGGGCTGACTCCAGCCCGAAATGGCGTGTGGCATTTGGAGGCCAGCAAGGAGGTGACCAGCACTTGCCAAACTCCCATCTCCGCTGACGGGGTTCGGGAGCCCCCGTGTAACTGGATGATTGGGGGAAGGAGGTGAGTGAGCCCAGCCCTCAGGAGACCCAGAACACAGTCTCTGTTAGGACTCACCCATGGGTGCCACGAGTAAGTTCTGATCGGATCCCTTGTAAAGTGCTGGCCCCAGGCAGCCATTGTCCACACACAGTCCCCAGCAGACATTAAAACACGCACAGGGCTCCCTTAATGTACCACCCTCCGTGAATTCCCTCCATCGTCCCCCTTCTCTCTTGAGACAGGATCTTACTGTCACCCTGGCTGACCTGAAACTCAGAGATCCACCTGCCTCTGCTTCCAGAGTGCTGGGATTAAAGGTGTGCACCCCACATCTGGCCCCCCGACTCACCAGAAGGGCCCCCTTTCCCTGCACCCACCGAAGGGGCCTCCTGGAAAGCTGGGGTGTGGATGGGGAGGTTTGGGTGGGTGAGGTCCCTGGTCCCCCACCGAGCCGCATCTGCACCCTGAGACCCCTGACCTAGCTCCATTTGCTCAGCCCTGGCTGCTTCCACCCTGCTCCCAAGCTTGATGCCTGCACAGTCAGGGAAGTCTTCACCGGGTACCCCAGCTTTCCACCCTTCGCTCAATCACACACCCTGGAGCTTTGCAAACTACATATTCCATCTTCCCAAGGGAAATCTGAGCCCCGAGGGGCTCCAGCTCACCGAGCTCCCGCCTTCCAGCTCAGCAGAGAGAGCCTCCCAGAGACAGCAGGACATCTGGGAGGCAGAGCCAAGCTGGGCCTGCGGGGAAGGGCGGGGCCTCCCGCAGGTAGGAGTTCCCCTGGCGGAGTACCACCCTCTTGATGGCCACACACCCCAAGCCCCTTGTCCTTTGGTCAGGGACCTGCCCTACTGACTGCACCCGAGGTTGGGGTTGGGGGTTGGCTGCTGTCCACACCGGCAGGAAGGGAGCCTGGAATCAAGTCTGGGCCTGACTAAAAAGGTGGGTCCCTGATCAGCTGGGTGGGCTTCCTGGGCTTCATGAAAGAGCGAATTGGCGGGCAAGGGATGAGGAACAGAGGACGGAGCCTGAGGATTCTAGGGTCCCCTTTAGGCAACAGGCAGGATTGAGCTGAGTGTTCTCTCTCTCTCTCTCCTGGAAGGGTATCACATAGCCCCAGTGGTCTTCAAACTCACTTTCTAACCATGGATGACCTTGAACTTCTGATTCTCCTGCCTTCACCTTCCGAGTGCTGGGGTGACAGGCACTCAGTACTGAGGAAAGACCCCAGGGTGCCTGATGCCAGGTGAGCTCTCTGGCAACCAAGCACCCTAAATTGTTTTGTCTGTTAGAGGCAGAGTCTCATCATGTAGTCCTGGTTCTCCAGAACTCCCTATGTAGATCAGGCTGGCCTGGAAATCACAGAGATTCTCCTGCCTCTGTCCCCCAAATGCTGGGGTTAAAGGTGTGTGCCACAATACCCCGGGGATTTTTGTAGATTAAAAAAACCAAACAGCTGGGTGTGGTGGCATCGACTGTGATCCCAGCACTCAGGAGGCAGAGGCAGGCGGATCTCTGTGAGTTCCAGATCAGCCTGGTCTACAAAATGAGTCCAGGACAGCCAAGCCTACACAGAGAAACCCTGCCTTGAAAAACCAAAAACCAAACCAAACCAAATCAAAACCAGTGTGTGTGTACATGCCATGGGCACCTAATCCCCCTGGAGCTGGAGTTACAGGCAGCTGTGAGCTTCCCAACACGGATGCTGGGAACTGAACTCAGAACATCCGCAGGAGCAGCAACTAACCGAGCCGAGTCCCACCCATCCATCCCCGGCCTGTCTGCTCAGAGATGCCCTCCCGGGCTAAATCAGAGCAGCCATGTCCAGCCAGCCTTTCCCTGGGGGCTGAGGAGCTGAATGCTGGCCTCGTATCTGCGCAGCGTGAGCACGTCGCCCCTGCCAGGACCACTTCCTACATCCCTTCGATTGGTGGGAGGAGCTCTCTGCCTCCTCTGTGATTTATTTGAGGGAGCCATGCGCAGGGCTGGAACAGGGGCATCCCTGAAGCCTCCCCCGGGTGAGGCACTGTGGCCTCCTCTCCCCTCGGCTGGCAGCCATGCCCCTGCTTCAAACACTACAGCCTGGCTCTAGCTTCACCCATGGCCCACGTGCCCTGCTGGCTGCAGAGAGGTCCAGCTGATGGATGACGTGGTTGTGTGCCCGGCTCGTGATGATGACACGGCACAGTAGTTGGGAGCGGGCAGGTGTGACCCCCTAGAGCTGGGCTCCAAACCCCATCAATCCGAAGTCTCCAGGGAGGTGTTGTCAGCTCGCTTCACAGAAAACAGCTTGCTGCCTCGCAGCTGTGGTGCTCACTTTAGAAGCCGATGCCCTGGACTTCCTTTTCTTTTTGTAACTGATTTTTATTTTACTTGCATTGGTGTCAGGTCCCCTGGAACTGTTACAGAGAGTTGCGAGCTGCCATGTAAGTGCTGCTTACACCGAGTCCAGGTCCTCTGGAAGAGCAGCCAGTGGCCTGCCCTTGGCTTCTTACAGCCCACGAAATCCTGCCAGTAGAAAACAAGTCCCCCAAGTCCTGCTAACCTCAAGGCTGCCACACCCACACTCCCTAGCTGGGCACCTGTCCCTTAGGTGACTCCAGGGTGGCCTCCTCCCCAGGAGACGGGGATCTCATTCTGCTTCATCAGGCCAAGTCCTGGGACCCAGGCGGTTCTGGGACTCACCTAAGGTACAGCTGCAACCAGAGAGGAGCTCCCAGCCCCAGGTGCTCCCTGAGTAAAGGCTGAGCAGGACAGATGGATGCTTGAATGCATGTATTTGCAGGTGGGTGGGTGGGCGGTCCCTCCATGAAACGGGGTCATGGCCCGTGCGGAAACACTCCTGCCGGTAAGTTAACACGCCAGCACGGTGCAGCGTCTGCGCACAGTGGAGTATTCCTCAGCCGTGGGAAAGAACAAAGGAATACATGCACTTCCGGGTCAGAACCCCAAAGATTGCAAGCAACATCTCACACAGTTACAGCCATGTCCATAGGTCACAGCAGAGGGGCAGGAGCAGCTGTGGGCCCAACAGAGATGGTGGGTGGATGGGTGGGTGGATAGGTGGACTCTGACCTAAATAAGCTTTTCTTTCGATTTTTCAAGACAGGGTTTCTCTGTGTAGCCCTGGCTGTCCTGAAACCCAGTCTGTAGACCAGGCTAGCCTCAAACTCACAGAGAGCCTCCTGCCTCAGCTGTGTTAAAGCTGGGATTAAAGGCGTGAGCCACCACAGCACAGTTGTGTTTTGTTTAAGACAGTCTCTCCACACAGCCCAGGCTGGCCATGAATCCACAGAGGATCCTGCCTCTGTGTGCATCATCCTGGCTGGGGCTCTCTTCCTGACTGGATACTAGGCTGCTTGGCAGGAGTTGGGGACCACATACACAGCTGGTCTCCACACACCGAAGACATTCCCTTCGTGCAAAGGAAAGCAGGGCTCAGTGGCGACAAGTGGTGAGGAGAGCTGGGCTCCAAGGTCTGCGCTCTCCCACTGCAGGTGCCATCAGGACTAAGAGCCAGGCTCCAGCCACTCTCCAAAGACAGGAGGCCAGATGAGTATGAAAAGCTGTTTAATCCCTGACACCCTAAAGCCGGGGCCCTCGGGTGGCATCACCTCCGGCCAGCTCAGAGAAGGAAGAACTGCATGGGCACCCAGTACAAAATGGCTTGTTAAGTCCGCGTGGCAGAAGCAGGTGGCCAGGCCACAGTGCTCCTGGGCCTGTCCATTCTGGTCAGACAGGGTGCCTAGGGGAAGCCCTCCCTCCCCTCCCCAGAGCGCTGCCCAGCTGTGGCCACCTGTCACCCTGCAGCAGACACCCCTTTCCATGCAAGTGTGGGTGGCCACGGCTCCCAGGCTCCATCGCAGTGTGGGGGACCCTGGCCTCGGCCTTGGTGACATGCAGCATGTGTGGTAGACTCCCTGCAGGCAGATCTGCCATGGAGCGCAGAGCCTGGTTGGTGAGGTAGAGGTCAGTTGCCAGGTCCAGAAGCCACTGCTGGGGCAGAGGGCTGTGGCCGTGGCATGGAAGGCTTCCACGTCTGAACTAAGGGCAGTTTGCTGGGGCCGTGGACCCATCCATGCGTGGCCAGCCTTCTCCACTCCACCCTGGCGTGGAGCCTCTGAAGGGGTACAGACCCCGGTGTTGGCCCAGGCCCTTGGGCAGGGTACCCACATTCAGGCCCCTCGTGGCCGCTCCCAACATAGAAACCTGTTGCTCTGGCCCCAGAGAGCCCCGTCCTACAGAGGGAGGAGCGGCCAGATGGGGCGTCTGCAGGGTGAGCATCGGCAAGCACCAGAGCAGCGGCCTTGCATGGAGGGGCAGCGGGGGAAGCTCTTGGCCTGGTGCAAAGCAGAGCTGGGCGCTGGGTGCAGCTGTGGTGGGCGGGACGGGCGCGAGGCCTCAGAGGGCTGAGCACCATGTTAGGGAGGACACGGCACAGGTCTGCCACCCTGGGGGATGGCAGCTGTCCCTGCTCCCTGCAGGTCCCAGGTGGCCAGCATCTGTGTGATGAAAGGCTGCAAGGGCCCAGCTTTCGCACCTCCTCTTCCTAGGCCGAAGTCCCTGGCTGCACCACAGGGCTGGGCTGGGCTTGGTCCCCATTTGTGGGGCTCGGGGGACTGTCCACGGGGCCATCAGAATCCTTGGCGGGGCCTTCAGCTCCTGCCTCCTCAGGCACAGGGGCCTCCTCGGGCAAGGCTGCCTCCTTGGTGGGTAGGGACCTCTTGGCTAGCTCTTCACTTGGAGGCCTCTGGGAGAGGGGGGCATCCGCGACTTTCTCAGGTGCAGGCTTCTCTCTTAGGGCCCATGGGGATTGAGGTGCGTCCTTCTACAGAGAGGAGGGGGCTGTGAGGCTGGGCCAAGTAGAGGGCAGACCCCAGTGGGGCAGGACCAAGCACAGGTGCGGGACACTTCGAGCAGGGGGCATGCAGCAACCACCCTGAGCCAGAAACCTTCAGCTCAACACCATTCGGCACACAGGCTGAGGAGCCCGGCTTCCGAGGCCGGGGGCAGCAAAGCCTGAGAGCAGCTGGGTGGGACCCCTGCTCTCCCTCTCTATCCCTCCCCTCCCCTGATGCTCCTCCAGAGCAAGCCAGCCATTCCTACAGTCCAGTCCACCCTGTGGGAAGCAGTGACCCTGGAGCCACAGGCGTGTGTGAGCACAAGGTTGGCCCTGGGCCAACTCCCGCCTACCCCGGCAGCTGCCCGTGACAGCAAGGATGTCCTGGTGCACAGGGCCCACAGGAAGATGCACCCAAGAAACAAGGCTCATCTTGTGGAGCCCTGTGGCATCCACTGCCTGAGGTGGGCATCTCCCATGCCCTCCCAGCCCTCCTGTTCCCCCGTCCTCTCTGGCTGGCTCAAGATGCGGGGGAAGGGGGCCTTTGGCAAGGCATCAGGAGCGTTCACAGGCTTGGGTCACGTCCAGAGAGCCCCCACAGGAAATCACAAAGCCCAAAGCGTGATCTTCCAGAAGCAAGGGACCTGGGCCAGAGGCTCAGTAGGAGCACAGGAGGTTGGACTCAACTTGACCTGGCGGCCTTAGGGGGCTATCGCCGCAGTCATAGCAAACCGGTATTCACCACAAAGCCGCTGCCTGTCCAGAAGGTGCCCAGCTCCCGGCGCCACAGTGCCACGGTGAAGCTGGTCAGCAGCGTGCAGGGGACCAGGTAGAGCAGCGCGGGCTGGCCACGCTGCATGAAGACAAGTGCCACGAACGTCACCAGGAGGCCCAGGCCGTAGGCTGCAGGGAAAGCCAGTGTCAGACAGCCTGCTCCTGGCAGGGAGCGATGCCTTCGCAGGGCGCCATGTCAACAAGGAGGGAACAAGGATAAGGAGTGGGGACAGCATGAGTTGCAGGCTGGGCATCCCAGAACTGTGGCAGCTGAGGCAGGAGGTCTGCCAATTCAGGCCAGCTGGGCAACATGAGGTCCAAAGAGAAAAGCCAAAGGGCAGTGAGGTCGGAGAGGACAGAGGTGGCCTCAGGAGCTTGTGCAGAAGATGCCGCCACCACGCTGGGCAACCTGGGCCCGACACACTCCAGGTACCCGACTACCCCTGCCCGGCCCACCAGGTGACATTTAAAACCAGCTTGGGGCAGGTGGACCTCGGGACTGGGGCCAGAAGCTGAGAGACAAAAGGCCACAAAGGGTGGGCCAGCGGCGTGGCCACCTACCAATGGTACAGGTCACAAAGTAGATCCTGGAAGACTGGGTCTGGATGTCAAACCTGTGGCAGTAGGCCACCAGCAGCCCTGTGGGGAGGACACAGTCACCACAACCGTGGCCTGGCCACAGGAGGCTACAGTGTGACAGGAACGGCAGCACCAAGCCCACACTTCAGCATGTCCCCTTGGCTGTGCCAATGACACGGGGACCCACAGGGCTCAAGCAGGACCTAGAGGGGTCCTGCCACAGTGGATGGGGACAGTGAAGACGCATACGGCCCCTAGGCAGCAGTGGGAACCTGCCACGTGTGCCACACAGCCATGCTCCACCCCGGAGGTCACCTTGTCCGCGGATCCTTCCTCAACTCCCTGCACGGGCTTCATGCCCCACAGCCCACCTGCCGGCCCCACCCCACGCGCTCAGCCCCCACCTGGCACTAAGATGTCTCCGAAGCCCAGGAGGGAGAAGGGCCGGTCACACAGGGACAGCGGAGAGGTGTTCAGCCTGGGCACCTTCAGCACCATGGGCAGCTGTGGGGAGAGCACGGCTCAGCCCGGAGGCTCTCACCGGCACCTGCTGGAGCCCGAGGCCCGAGGCCCACAGGGCAGGTGGCCTACCTTCTCGTGGGTGGATGAGTTCGAGGGCCCAGTGGCCACCTCCACCATGATGCTGTTGCCGCTCTGCATGAGACAGGCTGGTCAGGCGGGGTGGGGGAGGGAGCAGGGGGCTGCGAGGGCCAAGTGGGCCTACCTTGGTCAGGTAGGGGGTGACGAAGACAAAGAAGACGTCGTAGATGAAGAGCACCAGCAGCAGCAGCGTGCATGCCTGCAAAAGCCAGCGCCTGAGGGGCTACCCAGTGCGGAACCCACCGCACCAGGCCTGCCCCTACCATCATCCCCAACACCCTGGAGCCTCGCCCACCCAGACCCTCGGGGCCCATCGGGGATCATGCTGCCCTGTCTACTGGCAGCCCTCACCTTGAAGGTGGGCAGGCGGATGGTCTTCAGCATGTACAGGCAGAAGGCAATGCCCAGGGTGTCCTGCAGGACCCAGGCCCACCTGGCAGGAAAACGCTCAGTAACTCGGAGCTCTGTCCCCGACTCATCCTACAAGCAGCCACCCCGGCTGCCACAGGCTGCGCCCACCCTGCCCACACGAGGCCTCAGAAGCCACAGTGCCACCGAGAGCAGGTGGCAGGGCTACCCAGCAGCAGGGTCCCCAGACTGGCTTCAAGCAGATGTGGAGTGGGGCTCCGTGTGGAGTACAAGCCAGTGTGATGGCTCCTGGTCCATGTTAACTTTCCCAGGACACTCAGCTGTGGCACTTAGGAGCTGGGACTGCTTGGACAGGGCCATGCAGCCCACAGTGAAGGGCACAACCAGGCTGTGAGGGCGTGACTCCTGCTTCTGACCATCACTGTAGCCACCAGGTAGGACATGTGGGGACAGCAGGGGCAGAATAAGGCTGAGTGGGGGCTTGGCTCTCCCCCATTCCTTCTCCGAGGAGTGTCTGTTAAAGCGCCAAGTAGCACAGAGGCCAGGAGTGCTTGGCTGCCCAGGGAGAGACTTGGGCTGTGCCAGAGAGTGTCAGTGCCGAGCAGGAGCCAGGTGAGGACAGGCAGGCGGTCCTCCGGGCCATGGCGCCAGGCCCCTGCCTTCAAGTGGGGTGTTTATGTGTAAGAACCCCGTGGGAATTCAGTGCAGGAGAAAATGGAGTGCCCGATCTTTATGGGGGCGGATGGCAAGTGGCACCCAGGCATCAGGTGCTGTCTGAGCCCACGCCAAGACAGTGGGTGACAAACAGTGGCTCTGGGCCAGCATGTCCCCTTGCCCTTCCCAGGAGCCGGGAAGGATGGACAGAACCTTTATCTAGATTCCTATCAGGGTACAGGCTCCGGGCCAGGCCTGAATGAAATGGAACACAGGCAGGCAGCAGCTGCAGTGGACAGCCCTCTTGATGGACACACCAGGCCAGGCTGGGCAGCGGGGGCACCCGAGGACAGCAGGGACAAGTTGACAGGGTGGCTGTCGGAAGGACATGGCAGCACTTACTGGTCCTCGTTGCGGAAGATACCCCACACTACGGTGACAGTGACACAGAAGAGTGCCAGCAGCAGCATGCGGGCCTGTGGGCGCTTGTGGAAGTACGGCAGGTTGTTGTTGGGGACCCTGGAGGGGACCAGCCATCAGCACTCCTCCTTCCCACACCCGTGCACTTCACCTCCACCCCGCTGAGCCTCAGCTCTCACCTCGTTCCCGCCGGCGCCTCCCATCCTTGAGGAGGAGCCCCTGACTATGCGGCCACATCTCTCAACTGGCCAGGCCCCTGTGGTTCCAGGACAGCAACCCGAAAGGCCCCTATCCTGCCAGTGCGGGCTCACAGCGCCCGGGGCTCCCTCACCCCGCCCCAGGCGGCTCTGAGCAGCAGTGTAGGCCCGCAGAGGCCTGTAATGCTGACACTCTCTTCTGGGCCTATCCTCCTTCACTCCCATGGGATCCCCAGCCATGCCTGTGGCTCAGCTGGCTAAGAAGAGGCACGGCCCATGGGCGACAGGAGGCCCGAGCACACCCCCCAGCGACCAGCACTCAGTGAGCACCTGCTGTCTCTCTGAATGCGCAAGCAGGGCGGCAGACGGCAGGGCACGTGCCAGGCCCAGGGCTCACCTGCACGTGCAGAAGGGCAGCTTCCGCACGCAGGGCGCCAGGCAGCTGTAGAGACCCGTGGAGGAGGCCAGGCAGAAGATCCCGATGATCACGTAGACTGTGGGGCCAGGCCGGCAGGGTACCGGGAAGGGTGAGGGTGGGACGGGCAAGAGATCAAAAGGGCAGCTAGAGCCTCCAGGATCTTGGGTGGGGTCTGCTAGGGAGGGCAGGGCCCAGTGGGCGGGGCTCTGGCGGGCGGGCGGCATACCCAGGCGGTCATAGAAGTAGTAGAGCAGCACCAGCATGACGCAGCACATGACAACAAACACGCAGATCATGACGGGTGTCACGTCCACCGCCTCATCCTCCTGCTTCTCGGGCCCATCATCCCGCTTATGCTTCATGTACCTTCTTGGAAAATTTTGGGATCACCCAGGGCCACAACTCGGTGGCTGCCTCTCGGCCGCTCCCACGGCGCCTACAGTCAGGCAGCACTCACCTCTTCACGTCGCGGCTGCCAGCCCAGTAGCCACCGAGGGAGACAGTGCCCACGGCCATGACGAAGATGATGACCATGTTGTAATCCATCACTGGCTCAGTTGGCGCATACAGTGCCGCTATTACCGAATGGCCGAAGCGCTGTCCCCAAGAGGAGAGTGGAAGGTCACCGGGCCCCAGCTTCACTCCAGACCCACACAGAACCTCCAGGATCTGCACCCAGGCCCCAGGCCCCAGACTCCAAGCCCTACCTGTCCACTCTGCCCTGCCCGGTGCCTACCCTGAAGATGTCCTGCAGGTCCCTGTGGCTGAGCAGGGCCACGGGAATACTTATCTCCTCATACTGTGTCCTGTTGCCTCCCGGGGGCACCTGCAGGCAACAGGACGCGTAGGGTCATCCCAGCCCTCTGGGTCACCACCACGCCTCTTCCAGGCACCCGGTGTGCCCAGCTCCATACCACAGCCTGCTGTGCAGAGGGCAGTAAGGCCCGGGGTTCGGGTTGGCAGTACCAGGCACCAAGCCCTGGGGCTGCTCTGCACTGTCCTGCACGGGGCCCGCTCCACATATCTCCAGCCCATCAGCCTCTGGTCAAACCACAATCCCTGTGGCTGTGGCTTCCTCAGGGAGCCTGTGCCACCAACCATCCCAGCGCCCCACGGCTCTTGCACCCCAATGCTTCCAGGGTATCCCTACCAGCCTCTCCTTGCTGACTATCAGCAGCGCGCGGGCCCCACTGCCCTGGGCCAGCCGCACTTTCTCATAGAAGGTGCAGTTGCCCCGGGCCACCATTGCAATTTGGTCACTGAAGTCTTCTGCAGGGAGGTCAAGGTAGGAGCAGAGCTGGGTGTAGCTCAAGTCTCGAAGCTTCATGAGAGACTGCGAAGGAGGATGGACTCAGGGTCACCAAGTCCCACCAAAAAGACAGGGAGTAGAGCACATACAAGCTATTGCTGCCAGCATGCTCACGGAGAAGCCAGGCCTGTCAACCCTAGCTGGGGTGGGGGACAGAGGGCCGCACTTTGGCTGAGGGGCGTGCACAACCACACAACATGCAAGGCTAGGAGCAGCTGCAGCAGGACCCATGGAGTCCTCACTCCAACACAGCGGCATGACCTCAAAGCCTCAGCACTCACCTCAGTGCAGCGAGCACCACTCAAGGCTGAAAAAGCATGCAGGCCACTGAGATCTTGGGCCTGCAGCCTGGGGGCCTCGTACGCAGCCACACATGCACACACGTGTGCACACAGAAACTCATGCACACACCATTAGCATAGGCGGGAAGGGGTGAAGGGGCCCTCTCAAAGGACAGGCACCTCCCTAAGAACAGCATGGGGGGACAAGCAGCCACGGAGGGATGGACATTCAGCTACCAGCTGTGGGCGGAAGTGACATGCAAAGGGCACAGAAGTGTAACCCTAGGTGCCATCCTGCCTAAGGCTGTCACTTCTGAGGTCCCCTCTGCCACAGAGCGGTAATGGTGACCAGGGTCCCCAGCAGGCCTGCCTCCCCGTTGCCCTCAGCCACCTTCCACTCCTGAGCATGAAAACTCAGGTGCAGAGGCAGACTGCAGAAATGGGCGTCACCAGCAGCGTGGCCTAGTGTGACACTCACCACTTTGCTGAGGTCATGCGGCAAGTGGGCCCACTGCGGGTTGTAGATGACGCAGTAGTCCCTGCCCCGGGTCCCACCAGCCTGGGACACCACATGTAGCACACCAAACTCACAGGCCGCCTGCAACGACAAGGCAGGCACAGACTTCAGGTGCAGCAAGCAGCACTCAGAAAGGGGTGCTCATGGCCCTGGTCTTGAAGGACACCAGCGGGGGATGGGGGGGAGGGAGGGCAGACAAGGACAAGGGCACCTTTCTGAGCAAGGCATGGTGGCACAGGACTGTCATCCCAGCACTTGGGAGGCTGAGGCAGGAGGACTGCTATGAGTTTGAGGCCAGCTTGAGCTACAAAGACCTTGTCTCAAAAGAGGGGGAGCCCCCTCACTTCTGTCCCTTGCACACTCCTCCTGACCAAACGTCTAGCTTCTGGGACAGGCAAAGCTGTCCATGCCCTTGGGCAGCCAAGTCACAGAACGGTTCCCAGGAGGGGCCTCCAAAGCAGGGAGCTGCAGGGACATAGCTAGTTCCCAGAGCCAGCTGCTTGGGACCAGCACTTCACAGGTGTCCTGTGGCCCTTCACAGGGTCCCCAGCAGGCCTGCCTCCCCATTGCCCTCAGCCACCTCTAATCCTAAGCATGAAAACCCAGGTGCAGAGAGATTGAGGGCCCACCCACGGACCCTGGGTAAGTGGTAGGAGCCAGACCTCAGGAATGGTTGGCTCTGAAGACCAGCACCTACCAGGTCCGCCTCAGCCTCTCCCCAGTGGCTTGCTACTGGGGCTGCACAGGCCCTGAGGGAAGATGGTCACTCTCTGGACTACAGTAGAAAGGGATCCTGGGACAGAAGCAATGACTGCTTGCATGCCCCGGACCCCTGCTGTGGCCTTGAGCTGGGGGTCCCCCCCAAACCACACACGGAGTCAAGGAAGGGTATCTGCAACCCCTAAGAGTAGCACATGGGAAACAGAGCAGGCCACAGTCAGCCCGGACACACAGCTGAGGCTCAGCTCTCTGCCAGAAGAAGGCTCGACACCCTGGCCTTCTCGTGGGCCTCTGGTCTGGCAGGAGCTGGAAAAGGGGAGGCAAATTCGGAAGTGCCGGCTGGCTGTCACAGCTGGGAGAGTGTGTGAGCCAGAGCAGGGCTAATGAGGCTCCACCTATGGCAAGAGGCAGACATGAAGGAGCAGGGGCTAGGCAAAGATGTCTGACCCAACCTCAAAGGCGAGGTGGTGGCGCATGCCCGCAAGGCAGAGGCTGGCGAGTTAGAGGCTGGCCTGGTCCACACAGGGTTTCACCATGGCGTTTTGAGTGGGCAGAGGCTTGCCAGTCAGTCCTGCCCAGCTCTTCAGCAGCAGTGCTCAGAATGAGGAGGCTGGAGGCGTCTCCCCCCACATGCTGCCTACCCAGCCTTTCCCTGCTGAGGGAGGTGAGGCCACGACAGTGCTGAGTTTGAACCTGGCCAGAGCATCCTTTTTTATATCCTTACAGCCACCCAAGACCAATGGGTCCTCATTGCCTAGCCTCTACAAAAAGGTTCAGAAGGCGTGGTGGCACACGCCTTCAGATTCCAGCATTTAAGAGGCAGAGGTGGGCAGATCTGAGTTCAAGCCAGCCTGGTCTACAAAGTAAGTTCCAGGACAGCCAGGGCTACACAGAGACCGAAAAAAAAACAAAAAAACAAAAAAAAAACAACAACGAAAAAAAAAAGGTTTTCTGTTCAGGGCCTCAAGGGGCTCACTAGTTAAAGGCCACCTGATAACTTGAGTTCCGGCCATGGGGCCCACAGGGTAGGAGAGAAAAGACTCCTATAAATTGTCCTCTGACTTATCTGCGTTGTAGCATGTGCATGCAAATACGCACAGACTGAAACACAAACTTTTTTAATTATAGTCTCATTACATAATGCTAATCCTTGAGTCTTAGAGTCCCCCGCATTTGTAAAAACACCATAAAGTGTCATACCACAGCAGGTCCCTGATGCTGACACCACCACAAACAGGCTGCAGAAGACAGAGAAATCAGGCTGGAGTGAGCTCAGCCTGCTTCCTGCAGCTGCCTGCCACAGCTGGGGAAGTCACTGTGCAGGCTGCTGGGGTAGACTCACCCAACAGACCTGCTACGACAATGAACAACATGCTGTACAGGATGGAGGGGGCGACAGTGGCATGACTGTTACAGGGGAAACCAACTGTTTGCTCTAGGTCAGCTCTAAGGCTTGCCTCACAGTTCACAGTTCGCTGTCATGAGGCAGAGCCAAGGCTTGGGGCTGAGATCACAGTCCACAGCAAGGAAGCAAGTGCTATTTTTGGCATAGTCTCATGTAGCCCAGGCTGGCACCTAACTGAAGATGACCCTGAACTTCTGATCTTGCCATATCCACATCCATATCCACCACCTTTTTTGGTGGCAGGGATGGAATCCATGTCTTCAGCCATGCGGGGTAAGCATTCCACCAACCAAGCTGAAGCCCTGCCCACAACTGCTACAGTTTTGATGAATGGGATGCACCTGTGAAGATGCCTTCTAGACCTGTGTTTACATCCATGGATCATGGCTACTGCCAGCTTGGTGGGTCATAGAGGAAGCCAGCCAAGCTCCTTTGGTGAGCTGACTATTGCTGTGGCACAGTGGACCAACGCTCAGACACTCACCAGAGAACACACACATCAGCCCCCAAGGCTCAGGGCATGTCACTCAAGATGAGCAGGGGTGTTGCAAAGCCAAACGGGCAGCACTGGGAAAAACAGCCCAGGACCTGCCAAGCCTGCCAGGAGACCCAGGGACGCACTTTCAAGACTGTGCTGCCAGCCATGCTCCCACAAGGACACACCATAACTTCACCACCTCCCTAGAGCTCCACCTGGGTGGAGTCACTGTCATGCAGAAGACCTCTCTGGACAAACAGCTTTTGTTTATGTCTCCCCCACACCCCGTAAGTCACTTGACACCTGGGCTCCTCAGGGAGAGACTGGGTGACGCCTGAGGACCTGCTGTAGAAACGGGCAGGGAACATGGGAACACTGGCCGAGACACTGACCTGCAGCTAGCAGGACTGGCAGGCTTCCCACCAGAATGCCTTCGTTTCTCCCACAGACCTGGATTGCCAGCTTCCTCCCCGGGGGGAGGGGTGACCTTAGCTAACTCAGATGAGGGGCCCCTATCTCAGCCTGAAACACTTAAAAGGCCCTGGTCACCTCCAGGTGGCAGCATGGGGCAGGCCTGGTTGGCCCAGTCCCCACTGGAGGCCCTGGCCATGAGGCCCAAGCAGCTGGGGACCTTGTTTTCAGGCCTACACTACAGCGGCCCAACACTGGCTCTGCTTGTCTCCAGGGAGAGCTGAGCCCTGTAACACTATCTCTATCTGCCTCTCTAGGATGTTGGGTGTGTCCCAGGAAGGCCCTGGGCTGAAGCCATCACCAGCTCAGAAGAGCAAAAGACAGCAGAGACCCCAGGACTCAGAGCTTTGGCCCAAGTTCCCCCTGCCTCCTTCCTACCCTCCCACAACGAGGAGCAGAATCCGAACCGATCCCCTGCACTCCTCAGTGTGGCCCTACAGCCATGTGCCTCTCCTTTCAGGAGGGATTTGGGGGCTGCAGTGGAGCCAGAGTCCACACCCCAACTCCTCCTGCAATCCTCATCTTAACCCCTCCCTCCTCCCAGCCCCACCCTCCCTTTGTCTTCCCCGATCCCGTTCCCCTAGTCCTTAGAAAGGGGGAACCCTCCTCCCCTACAAACTAACCCCAAACTATCAAGTCTTGTCAGGACTTCCTGCATCCTTTTCCTCTGTGGCCTGGCAAGGTCGCCCTGCCAGGGGGAAGTGATTGAGGAACAGACAAGAGTCCATGTCAGCAACAGCCCCTGCTCCCCTTACATACTAGGGGACTCACTTGGAGACTGAGCTACCTATTGGCTATATCTGAGCAGGGGGCCTGGGTCCTTTCCATGCATGGTCCTTGGTTGGTGCCTCAGGCTCTGCAGGACCCCCTGGGCCCAGGTTTCTTGACTCTGCTGGTCTTATGGAACTCCTGTTCCCTTCAGGTCCTTTTTTCCCTCCATTCTTCCTTAGGATTCCTTGTGCTCTGCCCAGAGTTTGTCTGTGAGTCTCAGCATCTGCTTCGATGCCCTGCTGTGTGGAGTCTTTCAGAGGCCCTCTACAGTAGCTTCCGCCTGTCCCTCTCCTCAGCTGCTTCCGGTGTCTCTTCTGTTTGCCCTTCTGAATGAGAATTATGCATCCTCCCTAGGGTCCTCCTTGTTACTTAGCTTCTTTAGGTCTGTAAGTAAAATTTTACTGGCACACGAACAAGTCTTCCTGTGGATGAGCCCACGGTTCCTCCCCACCCAGTGGCAGGGCAGCTGTGCTGGGGGCCTGCAGAGCAGACAGTGCTCCCACCGCCCTTGCCAGAGCACAGGCAGCCCTGCTGTGGGCTCGGGATGGGCTCTGTCAAAAGTGGCTTTTGTGTAAAACGGAAATTGATAGAACTGCCTCTCTTCACAGTGGTCATTCACCAGCACAAAGGCGCATTCACAGTCACCTGCCCAGCGGCACACATGGCAGCCTTTCTACCCAGAAGCTGTGGGTTCCAGCGCCACAGGAACAGCACACCAGCACTGAGCCAGCTCCTAAGACGTGGCCACACGCAAGAGGACTGGAAACCAGAAGCCCCCACAGCATGCTCACTTAGGCACAGCCACCAGTCCCCAAAACCATCTAAAAGGGGAGAGAAACCAAGAGGACACTGTGGGGAGGAGGAGGCAGGTCGCCTGAGAAGGAAGGTTGGGCCCTCAGGAACACAAGAGGCCTGCACAGTGCACCTGGACCTGCTGCATGCTCCTCGCCTGGTAACAACTTGAGACATCAGGTCTCTCAGGCAGGGTCACAAAAAGGCAATGGGCCCAGAAATGCCACCAAGAGAGCTCCTGCTCAGAGTTAATCTCCCTGTTGGGCACCCAGACCAGAATGTGACCCAGCCAAGAATGGCAACTTGTCTGCTCCCCACCAGAGGTGGGGAAGGGAGGGCCAGCTGTCTGCAGGTGGGATTAGGTCCAGGCGACACATCACCTGCCTGGTAAAGTCCCCCAACACACAGCCTCACTGTCCAGCCAGGACCAGGCCTTTCTGTGCCCACTGCTTCTAGCCTGGAGAAAAAACCCTAGTTATCTTTTGTGGAAAGAGCTTCCCCAGGAGCAAGTACTTGCTGCCCACAACGCCTTCCTCTCCCATCCTTGGCAAACCCCTATTAATCCATCCAGTGTCACTGTCCCTGAAAAGCCTCCATCAGACCAGAAAAAGAGACCTGCACAAAAGGGACAGGTCTTGGGGCAGGTCCAGCTGACACTAGACATCCAAGGGTGTTCTGCAGTCAAAAAAAAAAAAAAAAAAGCCTCAGTGGAAACCACCTGCCCAAAGAGGGCAGCTTCCAGACAGGCCAGTGGCCTGAGAAATATGATGTTGCGTCCCTGGACTGCTGGCAGGATGTGGCAAGCCCTGACACACTTTCAAAAGCTCATGGCCAGCCAAGAGCGGGATGTGGGGATGAAGGGCCAAAGAGGGATGTGGGCCACATGCCGGAAGGGGCAGGAACCACGCTTGTGGGGAGTGCCTTAATGCCAGTCGTGCCCGCACTGGGGAGGGAGGCTCAGGCAGAGCTGCAGGCTCACCCCCGGCTGAGCTATAAAGAGAGACCCTGCCACAAAAGCCCACAATCTCAAAAAAGAAAAGAAGGATTTAAAAAAATGATCCAGACCCTTGTTCCGTGAACACAGTCCATGAGAGAAGAGGAATAGGTGTACAGTAACATGCACTTAGGACAATACTCACAGGACACCCTTCTGACCGTCCCCAGGAAAACTCAACAACTGCCCTGGGGTTGCCCAAGGCTGAAGCACTCAACATCCACTGGATCTGGAGGCTGGTGCCACAGACAGCAAAAGAAGGAATCTAACAACTAAGCCAGGTGTTGTGACACAGACCTGTCATTCCGTTACCTGAGATAAATGAGACCCGTGGTTTGAGTTCCAGGCTAGCCAAAGCCTCATAGGGTGTTCTGGGCCAGCCCCAGCAACATGTCAAGTCAGAGACCAGCCTGGACTGCGGAGCAAGCTGGAGGCCGGCCTGGGCTGTGGAGCAAGTTGGAGGCCAGCCTGGACTGCAGATTGAGTTTGAGGCCAGCATGGGGTTACATAGTGGGCAAGGCTAGCCTGGGCTATACAGTGAGTTCAAGGCCAGCATGCGAGTTATGTCTCAGAAAGCAAAGCACGGCAATAGCCAACCTTCCGCCTGGGCACCAAGTCGGGGCACATCCCCGCACACCCTGAGGACCCCATAGCAGCAGCTCGTCCCCCGCATTCTGCACCGACCCTGAGGTGGGGACCCCCTCCGGCCCAAGGTCACGGAGCAGAAGCCGGGGCGTGGGGCTGCGAGCACCTCGGGGGCCGCTGCTGGACGCCCCCGGGGGAGAAGCCCGGAGACTCGATCCAGTCTCCAGAAAGGGAAACAGGCTGGCAGGGGCGGCGGCGACGGTTGGGGGCCCGAGACGCAGGGCGGGCCAAGCCCGGCCGGAAGTCTCCGGTGGCGAGAGCCAGTGGACCGCAAGGTCACAGCCACGGTCACGAGTGGTGTGGCCGAGCCGACCCGCCGTGGCGCTCACCTGGGCCGCGAGCAGCAGCAGGACCACGGCCAGCCGCGCCGCCGCCATGTCCGCCGGTCCCACCGCAGCTCTAAGCAGAAGGTTTCCCGGCAACGCCTTCGGGACACAGCGACGCGCATGCGCCGAGTTTGCGCGTGCGCGAACGGCGCTCTCCTTAGAAAGGGGCGGGGCGGCGCCTGCCCAGAGCGGCGCGCGGCGGCAAGATGGCGGTGAGCACTGTTGGGTCTCGGGGAGATCGGGGCTGCGGGCACGAGGGCCGGTGGGAGCGAGAACCGGAGAACACAGAAGGACGAAAAAGAGGCTGAAGGACGCCTGAAGACGGATAGGGAGACAGGGACGCGGAGGGATGAGAGTCACGTGGGACTGCAGACCTGGCGACATGAGATGCTGAAGCGGGACTTGGGATACAGACCAGGTGGCATGGGATGCCGAAGGGTACAGATGCGGGACATGGGATGGTGACCAGGTGGAATGAAGATGCACACAGGAAATGTTGCCGATGCGCGCGAGGGACGTAGGCGTGCAGACTTGAGCATGGAATTCAGTTTGAATGGGAGATGGCGATGAGGATGCAGACAGGGTCATGGGGCTTTGGGATTGTAGAAGGGAGTCTCTGACTGCCACCCCCAGGCAACAGGGATGTGAGAAGGCTGTGCCTCTCTCATTGGTACCCCACCCTCCAGCAGGACAAAGAGAAAAAGAAGAAAGAAAGCATCTTGGACCTGTCTAAGTACATTGATAAGACTATCCGAGTGAAGTTCCAAGGTGGCCGGGAAGGTGAGTGGGCACTGCAGGTCTCCCTTACACAGAGCTGGTCTGGTGTCACAGCAAGCAAGGGAAGCCACAGGATGCAGGCGTTCTTAACAAGGGCCAAGCTTGGTCATTCTGTACCAATGAGGTGTTCCCCAATTGTGGGTAAGGAAACCCAAGTCCCAGGGAAAGGGAGCCGGGTGGGGTTAGTACCTAGACCAATGTGGATGGATCCTGAAGGAGGGGGCCAAAATGGAGCTGGATGAAGGCAACAGGAAGGAAGGATGGAAGGAAGAAAGGAGTGTTCTCAAGTGCCTGGGTGTAGCAGGAATCAAGAAGGTTTCCCAGTGGCAGGAGGACTGAAGGTTCTAGGCCAGTCTAACCTATGTAGGGAGACCCTGTCTCCAAAAGTCAATCAGGGTTAGGGCTATAGCACAGTGGGTACAGTGATGGCCAATGTGCCCTGGGCTCCCTTCCTGATACCATGTAAACCAGGCGTGGTTGTACCAGCCTGCCATTCCAACAGTAGGGAGATAAAGGCAGGAGGTTCAGGCTGCCTAGGGAGTCTGAGGCCAGCCTGGGCAAGTGAGACCCTCTCAAAAACAAGCAAACAAACAAAAAATAAAACAGAAGAAAGCTGTTTTGTGTTACGTGGAAACTACGTAAAATTCGGTTTGAGTGACCATAAACTTTTATTGATACTTGGCCCACCACAAATTCACTATCTATAGCCCGTTCCACACTGGAAAGAAGAGGGTTAGAGTCACAGTCACCAGGCTACCTACCATACAGGGACACATTTCCCCATGAGTTTTCTGGGGGTAGCTCTCCCTTTGTCCTGGGGTCTGAGGGTGGGGTAGGGATGACAGCGTTCTCCTTCTCTCTCCTCCCCATGTTCCTCAAGCCAGCGGAATCCTGAAAGGGTTTGACCCTCTGCTCAACCTGGTGCTGGACGGGACCATTGAGTACATGCGAGGTGAGCTGGCTGAGGTTATTGCAGGGATGCCGCTGGGCCTGTTCCTACTCCCCACAGCTGTGGACCTGGGGTGCAGGTCACTCCCTGAGAACTCCAGTGTCTGACTGCAGCCTGCCAGGAGCGCCCCAGGCTTGACACGTCCAGCTCGTGCCCCTCAGCTAGCTGGCTTTCTCCGTAGCCCTTGGGACGGCAGGAATGGTGGCCACTGTCCTCTGCCTGGGGTGTCTGCTCACATCAGCAGCTTTGGGGCCCCATGGACTCTCAGCGGCCACCTAGCAGGCCCATCCCATAATGCCCTGAAGAGTTCTGCACCCATCAGGTTGTCTCCTCCCCAGCACTGGTGACAGTTTCTAATTGCTTATTGGCCCCACCTGCTGTCCACCCTGTCCAGGGCCTCAGCTGCCCCACAGACATCCCCTTAGTGTTTATGGGGTGAGCATCGGCCCTCTAAGGGTCTTGTAGCACCCTGGAGGTGGGTGGCTCTTGCTTAGCCACCTTCATGGTGGTGTGGTACAGCCTCTGCTGGCCCTGATGTCCCTGTGCACAGTCAGCCCTGAGACCAGAACGTCTGCTCTGTCAGAGCCCAAGAGAGAGCTGGGAGTAAGAACCCTCAGGACCCTCTGAGGCCCTGACTGTGTTCTGCTGGGGCGAAGGACATGCCCTTAGTTCCTCCTGTCTGTCAATCCCCCAGACCCCGACGACCAGTACAAACTGACGGAGGACACGAGGCAGCTGGGGCTCGTGGTATGCCGAGGCACCTCAGTGGTACTCATCTGCCCGCAGGATGGCATGGAGGCCATCCCCAACCCCTTTGTGCAGCAGCAGGACGCTTAGCTACCAGGGGAGGGTGGCCTGGCCCAGGGACCACCCTTCTGTGGGTGAACTTCTGTTTGGTGTTTTGGTCTTTCTGGTTTTGTTTTGTTTGTTTTGTTTTTTAATAAAATTGCCCACTTAGGCATCCCGTTCTTGTCCCCCACCCCTTCTTGTCCCCCACCCCTTCTGCTTTGTCATTCTGGTCTGAGCAGCCAGGGCTGGGTCAGAGGCCTGGCTGGGACACCATGGCCTAGGGCAGAGCACAGCAGGAGACCAGCACAGGGAGAAGCCTGGGCACCTAAGGTCCAGCAGTCTAGCTGGCCTCACCTCACAGCCTTTCCTCACCTGATGGGCTGTGCCAAAAGGATCACACCTTGTGGACCTGGCCAGGACCTGGCCTTCCCCCACATGGCACCCCCTCCGCCCTGGGAGCAGGAGGACCTGGCACATGCAGGTACACAGAGAGAAGGACGTAGGGGCTGACGGGCCTGGGGCCCTGAGGTCCCTCAGGCTGAGATGGCTACCAGGGCAGCAGCTAGGGCCGGAGCAGGGCTCTGCCTCAGGGCAAGCCAACAGACAGACTGCAGCTGTGCCCTGGCCTTTGCTGCTGGGGATTTAGAGAATTAGTTCTGTTCCTCAGAGTCCCTCCCCTTCATCTGGCTTCCTCTTGCTGCCCCTGCCTCAGGAACACAGATACAAAAGCTGGGTTGGACCTCACAGCCACAGCCTCCAGGATCAGTCAGCCCACTCTTAAGTTTCCCCAAGCAGGGGAAGCCAGGGTCAGGATCCCTACTCCTCAGTAGAGGAAACAGGACTTATAGCCAGCCAACCCCACTTAGCACTCCCAGAAGCCGTGGAGGAAATTGTCAGTGCCGCCAACCCTCCTCCAGCTCCCCCAAAGTCAAGTCAGCAAGGCTTGTTCCTGACCCCCTCAGAACTGCCATCTCTCCAGGTGGCAGACAGCCCCTCCCCGCCAGCATGTTGTGTAAGTTAGGGGAAGTGTGCCACCCTTGCTGAGCTCCAGTCTTGAGGGATCATGGATGCCCCTGCCCTGTCAGAAGGAATGGACAGGTCCCAGGCCCTGGAGATTCAGAGCGCAGAAACTGGCATGAATTCACTCCACTTCACCTGGGAGTGACTGAGCAGTTCCTAAAAGACCTAACCAAGCTGCCCATCGTGGGGGTGTCCGCACAAAGTGGAGTGTTCCCTGCCAGCTTCCAGGCTACTTTCCTTGTAGGCCTCATGCTGTGAGCAGGACTGTTGTACTGACTGCCCTAGGCCACAAAAGGATGGTGGACACCGTGCCGGGAGCTGAGCCCAACTAGAAGGAGCTCAGAGCCTCCCTTCTCCCACAGGAGGGCCTGGAAGCCTCGGCCACCTGGTTTTCTGAAGACAGAAAACTGCCTACCCTGTCTCCTTGTGGCCAGCAAGCGTGAGGCCAGGCGTGGTGGCCACATCTGTTAGCCTCACGCTTGGGAGACTAAAGTGGGACATATGATGGCAAGTTCCAGCACAGCCTGGGCTACAGAGTGAGCCCCTCCCCAGCGGTCCAGAAACCCCGGGGCAATGGGGGAGGTTATCGGGGAAAGGTGCTTGCCCTCAAGCCTGATGGCCTCGGTTTGGTCCTCAGAACCTACAGAGTCGAAACCCAGCTCCTGCAGGTCCTCTGACCCCACGCATACCACGGTACTTGTACCCACAGATACAAACACACAAATACAATGAAAACCGGTGGAGAACATAGATGAGACTGTCCGCACACTCATGTGAAATGATGAACCACATGCTACCGTGTTAAGATGTGACACAGAAGCTTGCCCACACAGCCCTGGGACAAACTGTAGAGTGGAGTGCGCAATATGTCTAGGAAAACCCCATTTGTGGTGAACATTTTCTTTTGTTTTTCCAGACAGAGCTTCTCTGTGTAGCCCTGGCCGTTCTGAAACTAGCTTTGTATAACAAAAGCTGATCTTTTGGCCTCAAAAGACCAGCCTGCCCCTGCCTAAGTGCTGGGATTAAAAGGGTGCACCATAACAGCCCAGGATGGTGAACTTTTTTTTCTCTAATGTTTATACTTAAGAGGCTTGTTTGTACACGTAGGGGTGTTCTGCCTGTGTGTACGTCTCAGCATGGTGTGCCAGGTGCTCACAGAGACCAGAAGAGGACATGGCACCCTCGTGGGTCAGCCGCTGTGACAGCTGGACCCCATCGTATCCTCTGGAACAGCAGATGAATGTCTCCTTAGCCCCAATTTGTGTTGTTTTCAAGACAGGCTTTCTCTGGGTAGCCTTGGCTGTCCCAGACCGTGCTGGCTAGAGCACAGCGATGTGCCTGCCTCTGCCTCCCTGAGGCCTGGGATTAATTTTTATAAACATTTTGAATATCTTGTCTTTGAGCGTGGCACACGTGGATGGGAGCACGGCTTGTGGGAGTCAGTCTTCTGCTTCCACGTGGGGTCCTGGCAATCAAGCATACTCTCTTCCTCTGTCAAGCTTGGTGGGAAGCAGCTTTGGTCACACCATCTTGCTGACCCTGATTTTTATTTTATTTGGTTTTTCAAGACAGAGCTTTTCTGTGTAGCCCTGGCTCTCCTAGAACTCTCTGTAGACCAGGCTGGTCTTGAACTCACAGGGATCCACCTGCCTCTGCCTCCCCTGTGCTGGGATTAAAGACACACATACCCACGCCTGGCCTCTAATATTTATTTACTTATTTATCCTAACTTTTATTTTAAACTTGAGATTTCGCTGGTGTGCGACTGTGAGCTTTCCAGACAACAATGTCCTGTCTCAAAGTCAAAAGGTCGGACATGTCCACCGCCACCTTGGGGAGGGAGAGTGGTTTAAGGCCGCGGAGAGCTGGATCCAGCTCTGCGTGTTTTAATATTTTAAAAAGGAGAAATTTAATATTTAATGTTTTCCCTTAATGTTACACTGAATTTTTAATACTTGACTAGGAGTCGGAAGGAGACATGGGGGTTTAGGGAGAAGAGGCCGAGGGGGCGGGGCAGCAGGGAGCATCCAGGCCGCCAGCCGCCCGGCCACCCAGGATCCCGGCCTCCGCCCTCCCCAGCCGCTCCCATGCCGACGGGCCAGCTCCTGACCCTGGCCCGGATCCCGCCCTTCCAGCTCCCCAGCCTCTGCAGGGGCCGGCCTCGGGGCAGCGGCAGGGGCCTTCCGCCGTCAGCCCGGGGACCCGGCCTGCTGCATGTGCCCGTCACCACGGCCCTCGGAGTCCAGGTCTTCGCAGAGAGGCCGCGGGTCCTGTGCCAGGAGGCCCCACTCTGGGAGACCTTGCCCCGAGACCCTGCGGACGGGGACCAGCAGACAGGCCGGAGCTTGACCGCAGATCTTCAGGGCGCCCCCGAGAGGCCTCGGTGCCGCAGCTTCCAGAAGCTTTGGAAAGTGGGCCAGATCCTCCGGGTTCCAGCGGTCAGCACCTCCTCGCCCCACCCGCCAGGTCTGCTCGCCCAGCCTCCCTCCAAGCCCTTGCACTAGCCCCCATCTGCCTTCTGACGGGGCACCTAGGCCCAGAAACTCGCACCCAACTCCTCCCAGCCTCCGCGGACCCCGGGCTGCCCACAGCCCCTCTCCCCTCTGCTGCTGCTGCCTCCCTCTCCTATGTGGCAGGGGGCCCTTCCCTAGCCACGCGGCACGTGGGGATACAGACAAAGGCAACACGGGGTGCTGGGAGAGATGTGGGGATGCAGTACCCCGGGGGGAGGGGCCGGAGCTGTAGCTTGAGGATAGCCCGCTTGTGACTGCGCACGAGACCCGGGGACCCGTGCCAGCACCACACAAATCAGGTGTGGAGGTGCGCACCCTTCATCCCGCGCCTGGACTTCCTGGAGGTGGGAGAGTTAGAAGTTCAAGGTCACCTTTGACTACAGGGGTACGGGGAGCAAGCAAGTGAGGACAGATTGCAGCCAGGGTCACAGAAAAGGGACGTCTCCTGTGTCTCACCCCTCAGATCCATCCCAGACAGGCAGAGGGAGGCCTCACCCCAGCCCTGGTACGGTTCCGGAGGAACCCAGAAGGCTCTGTGTAGAACAGAACCTTCCGCATCGGAGACACGCGCTCTCTGCTCAGTGGATTGGACAGATGAGGCCTGACCATGAGGAGCAGAAGGATCCAGGGACTGTTGGCTGCTGGCGAACACCCCAAGGGAGTCACGAAGCACCGGCGAATCCAGCCCCATGTCATAGCCTGAAGCTCTGGAATCTCTTTGCAGCACCTCCAGAGAAGCCCAGTTACGTCCTCGATCCCTGATCCCTCGGACTCTCTCCAGCCGTCCACACCAGGAACGGGGGATGGGGGGACACCCAGGTCTCTCACGCAATAAAAATTATAGCGGGTGAGCCTCAGACCTCTCCAGTCAGGACCTTCTCGGAAGCCTGTGCCCTCCACCCACAGCTCAGGCACCCTGCCCAGCAGGGGTGACCCTGAGCAGCAGAGACCACAGATCTTCCGGGGGCAAAGGCCCCGCGGCCACTAACATTCCCATGCTAGGCAGCAATGTGGGTGTGAAGCCAAGGGGGACGGCAAGGGCAGGAGATGGAAGCTGACAGGGCCAGATTGGGCAGTGCAGGATTCTGAGCCCCAGTATGGGGCCACTGAGGCAGGAGGATCACGAATTCAAGGTCAGTCTGAGCTATATATTCAGACCCAGGAACAAAACCAAAAATGGGCTGGCCGGATGGTGCAGTGGTTAAAGGCGCTTGCCGCCTGACTTCCATCCCCAAGACCCACATGGCAGAGGTGAGGACTGACTCCCACAAGTTGCCCTGTGACCTGGACATGAGCAGATCCACAACCATTTGGGGAACTTAGACTCCAGCAAGCCCCTGATCGACCCACATTCCCCCTCACCTAGTGTCTCCCTGGCTACTACCATCAAAAACAGGCCTGTGATTCAGCCGTATCAGTGGGTCACTTGACACCACTCACCTGCTAACTCCATCCTCCAAGAGATGAAGTGACATCAGGAGCCCAGGCAGAGGGGGCGAGAGTGTGAACCAGGATGGAACCCCACCTAGAAATCCCCCCACCCCAGTGAGTTTGGGGGCGTTCCAGGGGCGGGGCCGCTGCCTAGAATACAGTGATGGGCTGGGAATAGAGCTCCTGGCCGTGAGCACTTTGAGCCCTGCCAAGACTTGGGTTCACAGGACACGACAAGCCACAAAACCCAAATCGATCCGGAAGCTCCCCGGGAACGCATGGCCCCAATTCCTTCCGAAACCAGAGGCAGAAGGAACATTTCCCAGCTAGTTCTGGGGCAGCAGGTCCCACAGATGAGGATGTGTTGGAGACGGAAGCCGGAGGCCGGGCCCCTCCCCACCTGGACAGAGAGCTTTCACCGCCAGGTGCTGGCAAGTGAACCCAGGCAGGACGTTGAAGCTGTCATCCTGGCTCTTGAGGTCACATGGAGATCTGAGGCCGGCCTTCCTGGCAGAGCGGCACTGTCGAGGAAAACCTTTATTCGCAGCACCTCACTGAGGAACGCTGAGGCAGGAGGATGCTGAGCTGCAGGTTTGGGCTACATAGCCAGACCTCGTTCAGACATGGACAGTGAGATGGCGTAGGTGAAGGCATTTGGTGATGATGGCTTGAGTTCTGCCCTGGGATGCTCACAGGTTGCCCTCTGACCTCTGCATGTGTCAGGGGTGTGTGATCCCACACAAAATGAATGTATGAAGTACACGTTTTAAAAACTGATGCCAGTCGGGAGGTGGTGGCGCACGCCTGTAATCCCAGCACTCGGGAGGCAGAGGCAGGCAGATCTGAGTCTGAGGCCAGCCTGGGCTACAGAGTGAGTTCCAGGACAGCCAGGGCCACACAGAGAAGCCCTGTCTTGAAAAAAGGAAATTGTGGTTGTGTGTATCCCAGCTTTTGAATTCTGGGGACTCCAAATCAGGTCCTCCTGCTTGATAGCAAACACCTTTACCTACTGAGCCAGCCGCGGGCCCTAGAAACCATTCCTTTTCTCCCCCTCCTTTTCCCCCCTCCCCCTCCTTTCTATGGGTATGTTGCCTGTGTATCTGTGTATGCAGTTTCTGAGTAAGTCAGAAGTGGGGTGTCGGGTGCCCTGGAGTCATGGGTGTTTGTAAGCTCCCCGTGGGTCCTGGTCCTCTGTGAGAACAGCTGGAGCTCTAAGCACTGAGCAGTCCAAGAGGCCACCCCCTCCTTTTCTTTCTTTCGTGTGTTGAGATAAACTCTACATGGTCCCGGCTGAAGTAGAGGCCATTTCTTCCGAGGGTTCTCGGCGTTCCCTCTGGAGCTGAGTCCACACAGGAAGGACCCGAGCCTCGCCAGGCAAATCCGCTGTTCTCCTCCCCGCCAGGAGCTCCTGTGTCCCCCAGCTTCCCTCCAGGGCCTGTTTGCGCCTTTTCCCATATCACCACAGTGTCCGAGCACTGTTGCTGCGCGCAGGCAGCCGCACATTTGCTCAAAGCCACGGGGGACATGGATCTGACTCAGTTTACAGAAGGGGCAGTTAGGGCTCGGAGAGGTCTGTCGCTGCCTGGAGGACACCTGGAACCCGCCGCCGCCCACCTTACCTCCAGGGACCGCTTGGCCTCTAGTTACACGGGCTGGGCCGCGCCGGCCGGTGGGGGAGTTGTGGTCGTAGGGGGCGGCCCAGCAGCTCTCACCCGCGTGGAGGGCACCACGTGACTGCGTCAATCATCATCCAGAAGGGAGGAGGCGTGGAGGCGGGGCATCATGTCTAAACCCATGCCTGTGTGTCAGGGTCCTGACTGAAGGTCAGCGTGGGGACTCTGTCCCCGGAGGGCAGAGCTGAGCGGGCCTGCCCCTCCCCCACGCCCGCCCGCTCCCCCGCCAGCGGGAGCCCCCCTTCACTCCCAGGTGGTCCATCTCCATGGCAACGTCCCATCCGCAGGTGGTCGTAACCTTAGCAACCAGGTGCCAGCCACCCTCCTGCCTGGGAGGGTGTGACCCTCCTGTCACTCTCCCACGCAGCTCCTCACCTAAGCGGCTCTGAGGAGCTGCGGGGTAGGAGTGGGGAGAACTTCGGGAACGCTGAGCTCAGAGAGGGCAAGAGACATCCCGTGGCCACACAGCAGCTGGCCTGGAGACCTCGCACCCACCCTCCTCCAGGCCTTACACGCGAGTTCAGTGCCTATTAAGCACCAGCTGTATGCGTGGCTCCAGCACATCTCTGTCATCAGCTGACTCCCACGGGTGACACACCACCAGCTGGGGGGAGAGGGCAGAGACTGCCGTGGTCTTCAGAAGCCCCACGCTTTCTCCTGCTCGGACCGTGCCCATCGAGTTCGCCGTCAGCGATGTTGCTAGTTCAAGGGAGAGGTGACAGCCTGTTGGACCCCAAGCGTGTGCAGGGAGGCCGCGCTGCCGGGGAAAGGGGGAAGGGCAGACATAAATAGGATGAATGAGAAAATTATAGGATATCTTAGGAAATTGTAGGGAGGCTGGGAACGGGGGACAGAAGGCGGCCGGGTGGGGATGTGAGTCAGGAGGAAGCAGGGGCGGGCAGGGAAGACGCGGGGAAGGCGCCCTGCTCTGTAGAGGGAACAGCACGTGCAAAGGTCCTGAGGTGGGAGCCAGGCCCCACCCCCCTGATCTCACTCTCCCATCTCCAGAGCAATGAAAGGAAGCGGCATGGAGCCCCTAAGCGCCCTGGGGTTCCCGGGAATTAAAGCTGCAGTCTGCAGCGCTGGATACCGGAGCTCCCTGATCCTCAGCGGTGGGCCCCAATCCTGGCCTCAGACAAGATAGGTTGGGCCTGGAAGGGGACCCAGGCGGTCGGCCAATGTCCCCGACCCTCCCTGGCTCCACCTCTGGCTTTGGTTGTGGCTGTGTCCCCATCCATGGCAAGCTGGGGACACATGTATCCCCCTTAGTTTTGTATGCAGTAGGCACTCAACAGGAGCCCCCAGGACCGCAGAGACTCAGAGAAGGGATGCAACCTGCCTGGGATCACACCTCATTTCAGTACAAGACAGGGCCAGCCTGGTGTGAAGCGAGGGTCTACCTCCAAGGATGTTGTGGGGGTCACCTTTTTTTCCCAGACCTTTCCTTATCTTGGAAGGGAGCTCTGGCCCCGGGGCTCCGGGAGGGACCCGGTCTGTGGCCTCCCAGGATGCAGTTTCTGGGCCTCAGGCCAATGCGACAGTCTGGGAACAGAGCCTGTTTGAGTCACAGGTGGTGGAGCCAATGCCAGGCTGCCACCGAAACGCTGGAGGACACAGAGGGCACACGGGGAGGGGGCCAGCGTAGGATATGCCCCTGGCTCCCGAAGCTAGGCCCACAGGCCACCCCACACTGGGGACAAAGGCAGCCTGGCCGCCAGCACACTCACCGCGAGGCAGGGAGGAAGGGGCCACATGCAGCCAGCTCCTGAGAGTGGATGCTCTGGGGTGACACCCTGCTCTCTCACACCTACCCGCCCGGGACCCACCCCGAGGCCTGAGCCCCTGGCTGCAGCACTGCCTGAACGGTCCACACAGCAAACTCCTGTCCCTTCCTGCTCAGTGTGTCTTCCTCAGGGAAGTCCCTGGTTTGAGCCTGGGGTGGGGCTCCAGCTGATGGCCACACCTTTGTTTTTAAAGATTCGTTTTATTTTCTTTTACTTGTTTGCTTTTCAAGACAGGGTTTCTCTCGTTGCAGCCTTGGCTGTCTTGGAACTCGCTCTGTAGACCAGGCTGGCCTGGAGCTCAGAGATCTTCCTGCCTCTGCCTCCCGAGTGCTGGGATTAAAGGCCTGCGCAGCCCGTTGATTTGATTGTGACTGTGCCAGGCCAACCCCCGCCCCCCTCTGTGTGTGTGTGTGTGTGTGTGTGTACAGGAGCCTACAAACCAGCAGGGGGCATCAGAGCCCCTGGAACTGGAGTTTCAGACACTTGTGAGGCTAATGTGGGTGCTGAGATGGGAGCTGCCGGTGCTCCAACCGCTGAGGCTTCTCTCTAGCCCCCCTCGTCTCGGGGTTCCCTCCGTGTGCCACCTCTGTAGCGTACGCACGTGCTGAGGTGCCCAGCCAGGTCTGTCCCAGGCACAGGGAGGCTCCAGGAGTGGGGGTAGCCATAGCGGGGGTGGGGGGTGGGAAGGAAGGCAGCAGGGAGCCAGCCAGTGAGGAGCAAGGCCGGTGTGCCATGCGATGGTGGAGGCCTGGCCTGGGAGGGAGGGGACACCGGGGAGGTGGTGGTTTCCAGAAGGTTCCAAAGGGACAGCCTGGCGTGTCCGGGGAGCCCTCCAGCCTTCCTTGGCGCTCGGCGTGTGGGGAGGCCGGGAGGCCGGGGAGGTGCCAGGCACGCGGCGTACCGGGGGGCCGCATCCCCGTCTGCCCCCGAGCCGCTCCAACACGTGTCGCGCGCGCCCCTGGCAGCTCGCGCGCGCCCCAGCCATGCGCACGGGGATGCGAGGCGGGGACGCGCACGGCGGAGCCCGGGAGGCGGCGGCGGCGGCGGCGGCGGTGGCGGCGGCGGCGGCGGCGGCCGCGGTGGTGGCGGCTCGTGGCGGCTCCGAGCGGTCCCCGCTCCCTGTCCGAGGAGGAGCCGCCCGGGTGAGTGACAGCGCTGCAGCCCGGGGACCCCCCCCGGGACCCCCACGTGCCTTTCTCTCCAGTCCCCCTGCGCCCCCCGGAAAACTTCGGGGTCCTCCTCGCCTCCGGAGATGCGGAGCCTAGAGGATCCGAGGGGCGCATCTCCGGACGCAGCCTGGGGGACGCGAGACGGGGATGCGCACTGCGGCAGGGGGACACCCGGCTTGGAGCTGCGGCTCTGCGCGCTGAGATCCCCCGCCAGCCAGCGCAGGGCGACGCGCGCCAGGCGGGTGGGGGGGTCTGCGCGCGGGACTCTCGCATATTCGGGATCCCGGTCCTGAGCGGAGGGACCGGGGTGCCGGGCAGGGGCCCCCGCTGGGCCGGCCTGTGAGCCGGGAACGGCCACGGTGGTGGGGGCGGCCGCCCACCCCGTCCCGGAGGCCTGCTGTCTCCCCTGGGGACTGGGCCTGGCCGGGGAGGCCGCTGGGCCCCATTCAACAAGTTGGGAGGCGCACGAGCTCCGGCTGGACGGGTGTCCCACCCCGTCTTGAGACCAAGGGCTCCAGCACCACAGCCCCCGAGGCACAGTTGTCCCTCCTCCCGGGGGGAACGGCCCAGGACTTGGGGGTCTGATGCATTTCAGAAGCGGCATTAATGCCAGGCGGCTTCTTGGTGTGTGTGCGGGGGTGGGGGGACCCAGAGCCGGGGCCAGGCCTGAGACCCTGTGGGCCTGAGTCGCATGATTGGGGGGCGGATCGGATGCCTGCCATTTGGTGGCGGGGAAGGGCTGTTGCGGCTTGGAACCTGGTGGGAACTTTTAGTAAGAACAGAACTGTCAGGCTGAGGGTAACCCCGGGGGACTCCCTGGAGGAGGCACACCAAGGCTGTAAGAAGGTGAAGGACAAGAGGCAGAGGGGCTCGGCTGGAAACAGCAGCCCTGAGCTCCTGGGGGCTTAAACAGCGCAGCCCTGGCTTGGATGGTGACAGGTGGCCCCGTGGATGTCCCCTGCGCACAGACACCCGGATGAAGTTGGGTAGGAGGAAGCAGGCACCCAGGGCGGGGTGGGATCCCCTTGAGTTTCCTAATTGCACTTCTCTCCCTGGTTCCTTTCTACAATTGACACCTTCCCCCCCCCCCCCCCCGGATGAGGGGCAACAAACCCCAGTTCCATCCCAGCCCTGAGATTGCACCAGAGCGGCTGGGAAGTTCGAACATTCAACTCCCACCGGCTCCTGCTTGGCGGGCCTCAGTGTTTCCATCTGTAGAGTGGGGGTGGCCACCGCCACCCACCCCCGGAGGCAGCCAGGCCTGGGATGGCGCCTGGAAGGGGAGGAGCGCACGCTCCCAAGGCTTTTGTGCCTCTGCCCACAAGGCTGTCACTTCGGGCCCTCCTGACTCAGTACCGACTCACCAGGTAGGGAGCCTTTCAGGAGAACTTACCCCGGCAACCTGGTTGGGGGTGGGCAGCCCCCGTGAGCCACCCACACCTACGCCGCCGAGGAGCTGGGCTTTAGTACTGAGCTGGTGTGAGGCTCACATTCCAGTGCTCACGGGAGAGCGAGCTGGGTCCTCAGTCCCTCGTCTCCCTCTCCTGTGAATGCCACCATGGTCTCAGGGCTAGCGGACAACCGGACGGGGCACAGGCTGGGGCTTAGGTGTTCGCCAATCTGGAACCTTCCTGTCCTTCGCTGCTGCGGTGGGCAGCCCACTACTCTCCTCAGGCCCAGGCTACTAAGGAAACTGGGTCAGGAACCCCCCTGCTCCCCAAAACGGTGGAAAGGGACCCATGGCAGATGGGAGGCTAATTAGGGCTTTAACGAACTGCCATAGATTAAAAGCCCCAGGAGGGCCGAGATCTAGGACAAAAGAATGTACCAGCCGTGGGGCTGGGGGCTGGGAGTGTCCCCAAGAGTGTAGCTCAGAGTGGGGGTGCTGTGTGAGGGTGTGCCGGGCCGGTACTCACCCAGGCTTACCCCTGCCCTCTTACTGTGGTGGGGGACCAAGGGCTGAGGGACAGGAGGCCACTGAAGCCCGCCTCCCGGCACTCGGGCTCATTCTCCCCCAGGACCGGACCTCAGACTCTTGTCCTAAGCGGGGACGAGGGAGCAGGATCCCACAGCCGTGCTCTGTCTCCTTTAGCTGAAGGGAATCTTTGTCAGATTCCTCCCAGAATCCCTAGCCAGAATGTTGGGGGGCTGGGAGGAGAGGCTCCTGTTTTCCAGACTGTTCCGTGGGGATAGATCTTGGGAGTCTCTATCAGGCCCCCACAATGTGACTCCGGCAGATGTCAGACCCCAGGGCGGCTAGCAAAACCATTTTCCCCTCAACAGGAAACGGTGCCTGGCTGCCAGAAGCCACACACCCATCCCTCCACCGGGCCACGGTGGCCCTGGGTGTGAGTCCACCCAGCTGCTGGAAGAAGCCAGGCAGTGGGGTGGCCCAGGGAGTATCCCAGCAGCCTCGTTCTGTGGCTCGTGGCCCCTCTTCTCTCCACGGAGCCAGCATCACAGAATTGCTGAGGTTTCTGCCTGTCATCCACCTGCCTCCCTCCTTCCCACAACTCCAAGGTGACACTGGCCCCAGAGGACCCAGGACAGTCCTCAGCTCCGGCTCATCAGCAGTGTCCTGCCTACACAGGAGATGACAGTCCCCAGGCCCCACCGTGGCCCCATTTCCATAGACTGAGAACAGCATCGGGCATACAGTAGGTGGCTACTAAATGCTTGTTGAATGAATGAGTGTCAGAGACCTACTCCTAACCTGGGTGGAAACGTCTAGAAGCAAGCGGTCAGTGGACGAGCCTCTAGGCTGAGTTTTCCTTCCCGTCCCAGCCCAGGGGTCCTGTTTGGCCCTGGCCCTGGGTGTCTGGACTGTGCGTGTACACTGACCGAGTACCTGGTGGGAGCTGGCTCTCCCTTCCAGGCTTGGCGGCACATCTCTTGCTCTGGACTCCTCCCTGGCTCCCTATTGTCCCGGGCACCGAGTGGGAAATGCCCAATGCCCTCGGCCCACTCGGCACCAGGACAGGGATGAGCTGACTCCAAGGCCGACCTGCCCAGCCCTGCGGCCCCCGACCCACTCTCTTCTGGGAGATTTTCCAAACCTCCATTCGATTTATCTGTTTGTATTTTTCATGTCCGTTCACCCACAGTGAGCGACAGGTCGCAGTGGGCCACCTGGTGTGGGGCTGGAGCGAATGTCCAGAAGGGGAGAATCAGCCAGGATGTGTGGGCTCCCAGGGGCTGGAGGGGGAAGGGGTGGTGGCTCATCAGGTCGCTTTTGGGGCGATGGAGGTCTGAGTTAGAGGTGTTCGTTACATGTGAATGCACTTAGAGGCCCTGGGGTCCACTTGAAGTCTTGCAGCCCAGCTCAGGGTGACAGGAGCGAAGGATTGGGAGGACAGTGGCCAGTGAGCCCAGGCTTCAGGCCTTGCCAAGGCCGCTGCGCTGCAGCGGGTTCTCATGCATATTCATGAGTCATGTCCTTGAAGCCTTAGGCTGGGCTCTTCCGTCCGTGGGGGCCATACCAGGCGTGCCAGACCCCTGAAGCCCAGCAAGGGCCATCTCAGTGGTGGCTGCACAAGCCGGTCCAGGCAGCCTGCCGTCAGGGGTTTTACCATGGAGGTGGGGGAGAAGCCAGAAGGTTCTAGATTCTGGTCCATGAGGCAGCGAGCGGTCTGCTCCTATGGTCAGGTGCACGGCCTCAGAGAGGCCCTTGGGGCAAAGCTGCCTCTTTGTTATACTTTTTTATTATTTTTGTGGTGTCAGGAATGCAGCCCTGGGTTTCTTGCAGGCTAGACCAGTGCTCCACCCTGGCCACGCCCCCAGCCCCTCACTGGAGGATTCTAGGCAAAGGCTCCACCCTGACCAAGGTCCAGCTTTCTTTTCCTGTTTTTCTTTTTCTTTTCTTTTCTCTCTCTAACTTATTTGTGTTTTGGGTGTATGGATTTACTTTTTTGTTTGTGGATTTTTTTTCGAGACAGGGTTTCTCTGTGTAATCCTGGTTGTCCTGGACTCACATTGTAGACCAGGCTGGCCTTGAACCGTAGATCCGCCCGCCTCTGCCCCCGAGGGCTGGGGTTAAAGGCATGGCCCCCACACCCGGCTACTTCCCCCCTCCTAGATTGATGTCTTTATATGTACAGTTGGTCCCCTGCATGACTCACTGTGCAGCCCTTGTGTGCAGTGTCCCAGGAAACCAGAGGGTGCTGGGTCCAGGAAATACAGTTACAGGGATCGTGAGCTGCCGTGTGGGTGCTGGGGCCCGAACCTCACAGAACTCCCCAAGCTCTGGCCGCTGAGCCGTCTCCCCAGCCCTTTTGACTTTGAGAGAAGGTCTCACCAGGTTGCAGGATGTCCTGGAACTAACAGCCCTTCCTCAGCTTCCGGGGAGATGGGACAGCAGGTGTGTGCCACCGCTCCCTTAGGTTTGGGGTGTCCTTTTGTTTTTATTTGTTTGACAGCATGCCAGCACCGGGTGGAGTGTCTTTGGGGGCCGAGCAAAAAAAAAAACAACAAAAAAAAACCAACCCTTTTTCTGGCCTGTCAGACATAGGATGGAGCTGGGGCAGCTCAAAGTCTCCAGATGTGAGCTTGGGACTCGAGGGGCCAATCTGGCAGACACCAGAGATGTCCCCATCCCTGGAGTTGGATTGAGGGGAGGCCGGGGCAACCACACAGGACACACAAGCAAGGAGTGTTCAGCCAGTCCTACTTCCTCATGTGTGCCAGCACCTGGGAGGCTGAGGCAGGAGGATTGCTGCCAGTTTGACGCCCGCCTGGGCTATAGTATCTCAAAGTCAACAGCAAGAATGAAAAGGCCACAGAGTAGTAGAGTCCTCAGACCGAGAGAGACACTTTGCTTGGGGCCAGGACCTAGAGAGATGGCTTTGTGGGAATTTCCTCCCCAAGGCCACAGGGCAAGAAAAGGGACGGAGAAACCAGCCTCTCCATAGCACCTGGGTGCACCCCAGCCCCAGGGCCCCGGACACCCTCTCCCTGCCTGCCTTCCTCAACACCAGGCACCAGCGACCTGGAGTGCTCTGACCCTACAGTGATCCGCAGGCTCTCAGAGGCTCCCGGGCTCCCGCCCTCACAAGTCTGTCAGGCAAGAGAGCGCAAGCAAGGTCCCCGACACACAGTACGCAGGGCCAGGGTCCCGGCCGGGAGCAGGCCTTTGCTTAGAGGCTGCCCAACCCTCCTCACTACCCCCCCCCCTTCTTAAACAGCCTGTGGAGGAGATGGCAGCGCGGGCCTGCCAGGAGAGGTTAGAGTTGAAAAACTAGGTCACCCTTTGAGTGGCCCCTGCTGGGCTGGCTCAAGAGATCTGCTGTCCCTGCCTGCGTGGTGGAGTAATTATAGAGAGAGCGCGCGCCGGAGCCCTGGAGGGCTCCGTGGCCGAGGTCGGAGGGGGTGCAGGGGAAGGCCGGGGTTCAGTGGCTGCGAGCAGGCAGCACCGAACCTGTCAGCGCAGCGCGCTGTCTGCCAGAACTTGAGGTTCTTTTCTGAGCCTAGCTACCCTGGAGGCAGAAACCAGGAGGACTGCGTGTTCACGACCACCCACACAGACGGCTCTAGGCCAGCCTGGGCTACCTGAAGGCCCCACCCCCAAAGAAATCGCACGTGCAGCAGAGTCTGTGAGGCTTGTAGGGGGCTGTGAAGGAAAGCCGCGTTGGCTCGGCTGTGAAGGGCTTGCTGTTCACACATGAAGACCTGAGTTCCAATCCCCACATCCCACATGAGAAGCTGGCACAAGGGCACACTTCGGTATCTCAGAGCTGAAAAAATAGGAGGACCCCTGGGGCTCATGGCTGAACAGCTTAGCCCAGTCAGCAGACTTTGGGTCCCACTGAGAGACTCGCTCTCAAAATACAAGGTCGAGAATGAATACACAAGACTGCGTCCAAGTCTTAGATCCACAGGAGTGTGCAGGAAGACAGGGTTTAGGCTGGGCTCCACCCTGACCACACCCCCAGCCCCTCACTGGGGGATTCCAGGCAGGGGCTCTCCTTTGGACCTGTGCCTTCTTGGTCGGCCTCACAAGCCTGGTGTACTCAGTCACCAGGGATGCCAGCAGAGACTGAGAGGTGCCGGCAGTCTGGCCTGGGGGGCTTCAGCTGCTGACACGCCATAAATAGCTACCTAGCAGATGGGAAGCCTTGTGGCAAAAGAGGCCACTCAGCCCAGCTGTCTCTCTGCTACCTCGACCCCTGGGTCGGGGCTACAGTCAGGCTGCCCGGGAGAAACGCCGACCGGCTTCGTCAGGCAGGCGATGCAGGTGTCTCGGCACCCACTGGCATCTTAACCTCCTGCCCACTCTGGCCCTCTGCCCCTCCTGTAGCTCCATTAATCTTCCATCCACTCTTAGGGCTTTTGCCCTGCCTGTTTCTCCATCCTAGCTCGCCTTTCCCATAGCCACTGAGGGTCACCATAAGTCACCCATTGGGTGTCCACAGAGGGGGAGGTGTCCTCTGTCACAGTCCCGGACTCTGGAGAGCCAAACTCAGAGCGTCCACTACTCCTGGTCCCTCCAAGGCGCTGGGCAGGGACCGTCCTGGCTCTGTTAGGTTCTGAGACACGAGTCTATCACCTAGCTCTGCTTCAACCTTCAAGTCAGCCTCGGCTACATAAGTGAGTCTGAGGCCAGCCTGGGCTGCAAGGGAGCTTCTCTGAAACCTCATCCACCTGTTCCGGGTGTTTCATGGAGCCCCACCGAGTGGCCTTTGAGGACTGAGTCTCTCAGTGAACCCAAAGTCCTCAAGGGCTCCGAAGGTGTGTGTCAGAGTGTGTGTCAGAGCCCCGCTCCCCTTCAGAGCTGAGTAATACTCCAATGTGGTGGTCTCAGGCTGTCCTGCTGTCCGTCCGTGGGCCCTGGGTTTCCATCGCGGCTGCTGTCACTGTGGGCATCTGTGTGAGATTTCCCGGGGGTGCTGCCGTGGGTCGCCCCGGGTGTGTCCGGCTGGGTGCCTCGGAGACTGATGTCCCTCCGTTTTCCGTCCCAGGCGTCCCGGACGATGCTGGCGCGGCCCTAGGCCTAGACCCTACACCATGACCTGCTGGCTGCGTCTGCTGGGCCTGCACCTGCTGCTGCTGCCCATGGCGCCCCCGGCCGCGGGCTGCCCCGCGCGCTGCGAGTGCTCCGCGCCCACCCGCACCGTGGCCTGCGGGCGCCGCCGGCTGACTGCCGTCCCCGAGGGCATCCCGGCCGAGACGCGCCTGCTGGAGCTGAGCCGCAACCGCATCCGCTGCCTGAACCCAGGCGACCTGGCCTCGCTGCCCACCCTGGAGGAGCTGGACCTCAACCACAACGTGATCGCTCACGTGGAGCCGGGGGCCTTCGCCAACCTGCCCCGCCTGCGCGTCCTGCGCCTCCGCGGCAACCAGCTGAAGCTCATCCCGCCCGGCGTCTTCACGCACCTGGACAGCCTCACCCTGCTGGACCTGAGCGAGAACAAGCTGGTCATCCTGCTGGACTTCAGCTTCCAGGACCTGCGCAGCCTGCGGCGGCTGGAGGTGGGCGACAACGACCTGGTGTTCATCTCCCGCCGGGCCTTCGCGGGGCTGCTGGGGCTGGCCGAGCTCACGCTGGAGCGCTGCAACCTCACGTCGCTGTCGCCGGAGTCGCTGGGCCACCTGCGGGGCCTGGGCGCGCTGCGCCTGCGCCACCTGGCCATCGCCGCGCTGGAGGACCAGAACTTCCGGCGGCTGCCGGGCCTCTCGCATCTGGAGATCGACAACTGGCCGCTGCTGGAGGAGGTGGCGCCCGGCAGCCTGCGCGGCCTCAACCTCACGTCGCTGTCCATCACGCACACCAACATCACGGCCGTGCCGGCCGCCGCGCTGCGCCAGCAGGCCCACCTCGCCTGCCTCAACCTGTCGCACAACCCCATCAGCACGCTGCCGCGCGGCTCCTTCCGGGACCTGGTGCGCCTGCGCGAGCTGCACCTGGCGGGGGCGCAGCTGGCCGTGGTGGAGCCCCAGGCCTTCGCGGGGCTGCGGCAGATCCGCCTGCTCAACCTGTCGGACAACCTGCTGTCCACGCTGGAGGAGAACACGTTCCACTCGGTGAACACGCTGGAGACGCTGCGCGTGGACGGCAACCCGCTGGCCTGCGACTGCCGCCTGCTGTGGATCGTGCAGCGGCGCAAGACGCTCAACTTCGACGGCCGCCTGCCCGCCTGCGCCAGCCCCGCCGAGGTGCGCGGCGACGCGCTGCGCCGCCTGCCGGACTCCGTGCTCTTCGAGTACTTCGTGTGCCGCAAGCCCAAGATCCGCGAGCGCCGGCTGCAGCACGTCACGGCGGCCGAGGGCGGCGACGCGCGCTTCCTGTGCCGCGCCGACGGCGAGCCCGCGCCCTCGGTGGCCTGGGTGACGCCGCGCCACCTCACCGTCACGGCCTCCAGCCGCGGCCGCGCCCGCGTGCTGCCCGGGGGCACGCTGGCCATCACGGACGCGCAGCCCCACGACAGCGGCACCTACACGTGCGTGGCCAGCAACGCCGGCGGCAACGACACCTACTTCGCCACCCTGACCGTCCAGCCGGCCCCCAACCGGACCCGGGGCGACGGGCACAACGAGACGCAGGTGGGCGCCCGCTTCCCGCTGGACCTCACCACCATCCTGGTGTCCACCGCCATGGGCTGCATCACCTTCCTGGGCGTGGTCCTCTTCTGCTTCCTGCTGCTCTTCGTGTGGAGCCGCGGCCGCGGGCAGCACAAGAACAACTTCTCCGTGGAGTACTCGTTCCGCAAGGTGGACGGGCCGGTGGCCGCGGCCGGCCAGGGAGGAGCGCGCAAGTTCAACATGAAGATGATCTGAGCCAGCCCCACGGTGGGCGCGGGGCTTGGGGGGGCCTCCGGCCAGTCTCAGCCAATTTCCACCTATGCATATTTTTTTTCCCAGAGGGGAAGCATGGCGGCTGCAAGTCAGCTCACAGGCAGAACTTCCACATTTGCTTTTTGTGTGTGTGTAGATATCTGCGGACTGTTTTCGAGCAAATCACTTTTGCAGGTCCTGAAAAAGTGTTTTCTAAGGGTTTCAACCTGTCTTTCCTGCCCTCTGCTGTGGCTGCTGTGCTGGGACCCAAAGTGCTGGGGACACTCAGGGTCCAGAGTTCCTTATGCAGGTGCAGAATGTGGCCCCAAAGTCCTGCATCCTCCGTTTGTCGCACTCAGCAGGCGGGTCCCCCAGAGGACACAGTGTTTTCAGTGGGCGCCTCCTCAGCCCACCGTAACACATCCCCGTGCCATACACAGGGCCCAGGGCTGCAGCAGGGTCCCCGGGCAGGCACTGGCCCGGCTCCTGCCCACTGCTACTCGGCCAGCCCAGGGCTACCCCAGGCTTGCAGGAGCCCTGTCCCCATCCCTCCATCCCGCCAGGAACTTCTGGTCTGGTGGGGCCGCCTGCCAGGAGAAGCCATGTCCCCATGTCCCCTAGAGGCCCCTCCATCCTGCCTAGCCATGCTGGCCATCTGCTTGCAGGAGGGCTGACTGCGCTGGGTTCTAGGAACCTGTCAGGCCACCCATGGCCGCTCTGCCTCTCCGCAGGGGCCATCGCCCATGCTGGCAGGGGTGGGCAGGCAGGGGTAGGGGCGGTGAGGGCTCAGACATCAGACAGGGTCAGGTCATGACCCAGCAGCCTGTCCTAAGTTCCTCCCCGGCTCCCACCTCCGCCTGATGACAGTGCGCTGCTGACAGGGGGACCTTGGGACTTAGCCAGAGACCAGGAAGGCACAGCAGGCTGCTGGACATGCAGTAAGACAGGCTGCAGCTCTGCTCCTGCATGCCCAGCTGTGATTGTGGTTCGCTGCGACCCTCCACGTCTTCCTTTGCAGAGCTAGTCTGAGCTGGCAGCCTTTGCCCTCAAGCCAGGCTCACAGAACCCCTGATTGGGTCCAGACGAAAAGGCAACTTCACACCAGGCAAGACTCAGCTCAAGCTTGGCTGGGAACATAGGGACCCTTTGGTCCTGCCCTCCCCAAAAAAATGGGTCAACAAGACCCGAGTGACCGGATTGAACAATATTTTCAGACCCTAGCCCTGAGCCGGACAGGACGGACCCCTTTGGTCCTGGAGCACCCTCTTCTTAGCCCCTGTTGCCATGGCAAGTCCAGGGCCCTCAAAACAACCACCAACGAAATCCAAGTGCCTTTAGAGTCCTTAAAAGACAGGAGGGTACATTGCAGGCAGGGCTATTCACAGTGTCGGTACATTACATTGGGGTTCCCCAGTCCCAACAACCTCCATCCTCACCCCGCTGTGTGACTGAAATCCAATAAAACAACCAGATTTAATATGAAAGTCAGATTTTCAGATATTATTACTCCCATGGCGGGGGTGGGAGACTAGGTAGCCGGCTCCCTTCAAGGTCGGGAAGCTCCGTGGCAGAGCCCCACACCAGTCAACACAGCACTGGCTGGGAGGCCGGAGAGTCAGGAGTTCAAGGTCAGCCTCAGCATGAAGCTGACATGTCTACAGTCAGGGCTGAGGCTGACCTCACATGGAGGAAGCCCTGACCACCTCAGACACCTGCCATCACCAGCATCCTGTAACGCGTGTCTTATCCAACCAGAGGCTGCTGGAGCTCCGGGAGTTTGGGGCTCCAGAGGGGGTCAGTCTCAGAAAGAAAAAATAAACTGGCTACACTGGTGTATAGGTGAGCCTGGCAGGGTCTGGGAAACGGACACCTTTACTGCAGCACGGGGGCGGGGGGGGGCTCCGTAGTGGACGGAGCGCCTGGGGACAGCCTAGGTGGCCCTCCTGAAGAGCTGAGCCTCTGCGAAGTGAAGGTCCCAGGATGCACTGTCTCGGTTGTATTTTTCCCTGAAGAGAAGCCATGGCAGCACTTGGCTGAGAGCCAGCCTGTCTTGACTTATTCTTTTACATTTTGTATTTTATCTGTTGTTTGTGAACAGAAACTCTTGTAGCCCGGGCTGGTCCCTTAGCATGCAGTGATGAACTTCAACTCCGATTCCCCTGCCTCCCCACTCCTGAGTATAGGGTGACAGCGTATGCCACCATGTCCACCTCTGTACCGCCCTGCCCCTGCCCTGACTTCTGTCCCCACAGCATCCCAGGAAGGCCCCTCCCCACCCTGGCCCTGACACCTCCCCTTTGAAGGGGACACTGGGTGGAGGGGCCCGGGCTGCTGCTGAGTTCTTGGGGACTAGGCTGTGTGTAGGGTGGTTTGTGTCTCATGTCCTCCGGTCTGGATGTTCTGTCCCCATCCCACACCTGTGGTGGGTGCTTCCCAGTGTCCTGAAAGATGAGCGCCATCCCGGCGCCACAGGTGAGCAAGAGTCAAGAGGACAAGCCATTCAGGGGCCGTCACTCCATCTCGGAGGGCCCTCCTCAAAGGGCACCCTGTCTGTGCAGCCCTGCTGCTTACCTGTTTCCCCAGGAGCCCGCAACAGCAGGAGCAACTCTAGTCAGGCAGGGGGAGCTGCTGAGGTAGCAGCTCCTTCCTGCCAGCTCAGCCCACCCTCAGCAGGCAGCCCTCCCTACTCAAGAGCTGCACTGGGCGGCTGGCACACTTGCTGTTTTAGGCCTCAAGCCCAGTTTAGGGCACTTTATGGTCCAAACAAGAAAACATGTTCCCAACTTGTGGTCCAAGCCTGTTATCCCAGCTATTAGGGAGACGGAGGCAGGATTTTTTCAAGGTGAGCTTGGATATTGTGAGACCCTGCCTCAAATAAAAATAAAAATAAAAGCCAGGCGATAGTGGTGGACAGCTTTACCCTAGCACTCAGGAGGCAAAAGACAGGGATCTGTGTCAGTTCCAGGCCAGTCTGGCCTACAGAGCAACTTCAGGACAGCCAGAGCTACATGGAGAAACCAAGTCTCAAAAATAACCAAAATAAATATTTAAAAGGAAAAATAGGTCTGGGAGCCTGCCTCAGAGATGTAGCCCACCAGTGAGGGGCTGGAGGCATGGTTATTCCAAGTAGTTGCCCAGCACGTGAAACCCTTCCTTAATCCCTAGCACCACACGACAGAGAGGCTGGAGAGACAACTCAATGGTTAAAAGCATGTAGCTTTGCAGTATCTGACTTTGGCCCAGCACCCATGTTGGTTGGGCTGTAACTCCAGCTCTGGTGGATCCAATGGCCATGGTCTCCTTAGGCAACTCCACACGCATGGCACAAACATACTTGCACATGCAATTAAAAAAATTATCTGGGCTCAATGGCACATGCCTGTAATCCCCAAACTCAGGAGGCAAATCTGAGTTCAAGGTCAGCCTGATCTAAAGAGTGTCCAGGACAGCCAGGGCTACATAGAGAAACTCTGCCTAAAAAATATAAATAAATAAAAATAAGTAGGTGGTGGTGCTCACCTTTAAACCCAGCACTTGGAAGGCAGAAGCAGGCACATCTTTGTGGCTGGCCTGGTCTACACTGCCAGTTCCACAACAGCCAGAGTTCCACAAGGAGATTCTCTCAAGAGACAAGAGAAGTGAGAGGTGGAAGAAAAAGGTGACCCAGCCTTGACCTCGCTGCGTGGCAGCCTCTTGGCTGTCTGCTGGTAGCCCCTGCACATAACGGCCTATCAGTGAGGCTGCCGGGCCTGTCTGTGGCCACACCTTTTTGGGAGCGCGGCCCTGTGAATGTGTTCTAGGTGATGGTTTCTGAACGGAAAGGGAGTGGTCAGGCCTGCACGGCACTTTTGCTACTGAGGGTATCCTCAGCCTTTGGCTGACAGTAGCTATGTAGGCCAGGCTAGCACTGGAACTCAAACCCTGCTGTCCTAGCTCTTCAGATACTAGAATGACAGCCATGGCCTTGTGGGCGTTTCTGAGGGAGGTCTTGGTCAAGGAGAACTTCCCACTGGGAAACATGGAACCTGAATCCCTGACCTGTCTCACAAAGCTCAGACTACCAGCCTTGACTGGTAACATCCCAGCGCTCGTGGTCCTCCTGACACCCACAGTCTGGTAGCTCACACACAGCTGACTTCCTGAGACTCTTGACAGTCAAGACTGCCTCTTGGTGGTCTTGGTGGCTGTCATTGTCAGGGTGCCCAGACAACCACATATTGCTTCTAGGTTAAAAAAGCAGCTGGGGTACTGACATATGCCTGTCAGCTCAGCACTCAGCAGATCATGATTCTAGGTCATCCTTAGCCACACAGGAAGGTCAAGGCTAGCTATGAAAGACCTTACCTGAAAAAGAAAAGAAAGGATCTGTGCGGCTAGCCAGTGCATCAGTCTCCACAAAGGCATGCAGGTGCACAGGAGAAAATCCTGAGTCTTTGAGGCCTGCAACTTAGGACTGCCAGGGCCTAACATCCCCCACGTGGCCAGCTATTTCCACATGCATTGTGACTCAAGTTCTCCACTCTATCCACTGATCCCCAAGGTTGCAGGCTTAGTAACCTACAATGACACTAGTGGCAGCTCAGGCCCCTTCTTGGACATGGAGCTTCCTTAGTCCTGTGCACTAGTCTCGCAAACCCCAGCAATACAGGTGGAAAGGCTTACCCTTCCAAGGCCCTGCACCCTTTCCTGTTCACTCACTGTTCCCTGGCACACTCAGGGCTGCACTGGCCCCCAGATCTGCCAGTCTCATCGGTCCTTCCTGGACCCTCTAATCCCCGGCAAACATCACTGGTGAGTAGGTCCTATACTGCCTACAATCCAGCTCCAACCCCACAAGGATCCAGTGGACAATAAACCCACGTGCACTCCTGCCCAGCCTGCCCCACATCCCACCCCACAGTGGCCAGCAGATGTGGCAGCCCCGTGAAAGTCCTCCATTTCAGCCACTTTTAGCCAGTTGCCTGGGGAGCAGTAAGAGGCCACAGCCCTACCACACACTTAAGCAGAGGCTCAGCAGTGACTGAAGGCCAGGGCCGTAAAAACCCTAAACACTCAGGGGACCCTAGGCGAGAGCTGGCAAGAGCCCAACCCAGCCCCAGGGGCAGGACACAGACACAGCCAATGAACGAGATCACTTTATTGGTTTGAGCCAGGGGAGGTGACACTATCTATCTTGCCAGACTTCAAGGAGGCTGCTCTAGCACAGGTCACCCGACCACCTTAAACAGCAATAAAAAAGTAAAATAGAAACCTTTATTTAGAATTAAAGCCAACACTTGAGTGTGACAAACACAGCATTCAGCTCAAAGAAGCACCCCGCTAATGGAGTGAGCGTTTATTCTGCACAATCATGACATGTGGACAAACCCGGGAGAGGGCACAGGGACACTGGGCAGGGCTGGCACCTAGTCCTCCTCGCCCGGGTCCTCTCTCTCCAGCGTGTAGACCATGAAGCAAGCGTCGGGTCTCTTGGGGACGAGGGGATGCCCGGGTCTCACAATCTCAAAGCCAAGAAAGCTGAAGGTTCGGAGTAGGGCGGCTGTGGGGGACATAAGGTCAGACCTTGGGGACCAGAGCTTCCACCCCCAGGACCCCACAGAGACACTTACCTCTGTCCTCGCGGTTCTTGGGGAAGCAGATGAAAACGTGGTCGGCCCGGAGCTGCTCCTCTGCAAACTCCAGGAGAGCTGCGAAACTGAGAAGAGCAGAAGGCCATTAGCCACCTGTGACAAGGCCCCAGATCCCCTTCAGCCCCAAGGGGAAGTGACCTACCTGTCCTTGCTGCCCTCAGGCAGAGGTCCAGCTGGGAGCTCGATGTAGAGGCCACCACTGGTCCACACCGCCCTCCAGGTGACCTGCTTGGCCTCCGTGAGCTTGGACTGGATGCTCAGGACCCTGGTCTTGTCGTTAGACGTTGGCTCCTCTGTCACATTCAGCTGCTCGTCCTGAGGAAACAGAGCTGTCAGGATGGCCAGCTTGCTGTGCCAGTGACAGGCATTCCCAGGGTTCCCCCAGGTACTCACGGAGTACAGGATGCTAGCTGAAAGACTGTGATCCCGCTGACTGTTCCCTCGCCCACCTGGGATCTTCAGGGGTGGGTGAGGGACATCAGGAGCACCACCGAGGCCCCGGACCCAGGTTACTACAGCAATGAAGGGCGACCCTAGAACTGCAGGAGACCAGGAGACAGTGCTCAGGGGTCCCCAGGAACTCAAGACTGGGATCAGAGGACCCAGGGGGTCACCTCACCTCTGTGGCTCTGCCCCTTCTGTAGCAAGGCAGGGCACTAAAACAGGGCCTCAGGCACTAAAACACACCTCAGCACTGTGGTCCACAGCAGGAAGCTGAGCCACCCCACTCCCCATGCTGCCAACTCTGCCTCTCAAACCACACCGCTTGCTCCTTTCCAGACTCAGTCCCAGCCCAACTTCAAAGTCCCACCACCCTCCTCCCCAGCCTCTACTCAACAGCTACCAGT